TGAGTTAAAGTTCTCTTGGGAAATGTCTCGGATACGGATCTGGAATATCAAAAATTTTACGTTGGTTATATTAATGGAGATGAAAAATGAAATTTGTGTCAGCACGAGGAAGTTGTAGGCGAGTAATACTCGAAATATTTCAATATCAAAGTGTGAAAACTTGTTTCATCACCTCCTCTTTAAATCGTTTTCATTTATCGTATTCTGATCGAAACGCGATTAAGAAAATATCGATTCCAATTAGCATTGCCCGTTTGAAAAGTTGCGTTGGCGTCTCTTTCTCTCTTAAAACCGTAATTCACGAAGAGACTCATAATTAAAGCCAGGAAGTGAAAGCTGTAAGGATGGTTTTGAAAATATACGGTTTCAAAATACTAACAAGTCGCCGCAAGATGCAATACGTAAAGTTACTATTATCGAAATCTATTCACACCCGGCGTTGAATAATTTGATTTATTGATCCTGTTGAAGGTGGATATGACACAACTGGGTTTTAATAAGAGGGGAATGAAACGATCCACGTTGTACTGTTTGTCTGAACGATAATAAACAACCCTAATAAAAGTAAACGGTGACGATAAATCAACCGCGATGAAAAATTACGTTCTTCTTTTGAAAGAAATTTTATAAATTTTCTAAGATTTACAAACATCAAAATATGGTTATGTTCTCAATTGAAAGAAATATCAAGTATTACTTGACCTTTTCTTAGATTTCAATAAATTATTTATTTACGATCGTACTAAAATCGGTGAATATCGTTAGTATCATAAATCGATTGATTTTATTAAGCTTTCCACTTCATCCGCGGCTGCAAAACATGTAAAACTTAACACTTTAATATTATCAACTTTTCCATCCTCAATAAAATAGGATAGTTTCATTTCTAATCGGTTAAATTTAAGATCTCTTTTTAAATAAAAGATCAGTTTTGTTTTTCATAAAGAAGAAACGCCAAATTTTTATATTTCATCTTATTACAATTTTCATATTAGAACTCTAAGCTAAACGATTTTTAAAAAAGAGGCTGAGATGAAGAAGACTCAAAGTTTTTCTTAATAAGGATCTATATACGAGAAAAATTAACGCAGTCTTCAAGGCTATTAAAGACTTTGAAAAGTTTCTAACATTTTTCAACTACATGAATTCGTTGCGAATGGTAAATCTAACCTTAAGGTACTTTTAGTGATCTACAGAGCTGGAGAAGCTATTCCTAGACGATCAATTTATTGTGATAATATATTATACAATATTATATTCGTAGTCAACTTGTTAGATAATGATGAAGCTATTTGTATGATCATTGCACTAGCTGAAAGCATAGATTTTATCCATCTTTTCTTTTTATCCAAGCTGGCTTCAAAAGAGCTAAAAAGATCAGCTACTTAGTAAACAAAGATATTGTCAAAACTTCGTGCAGCAAGGAATACTGTGATAAGAGATGCTATTTCTCCAAGGCAGCGATTGTTGGTTACACTGCGATACAATACTTGATAAAATTCAGAAGCAGTATCACCACAATCATAATAGTTTTTTGCAAACTAATACCTAATTAAACTACTAAATTAATTGTTTGCAGTAGAATCATCTTTTACAGCTCTACTGCTCAACTCAAACGAATCTTTTCAAATTTGCTTTGCGATTCTAGCAGACATAGGTATTTTCCAAACTGTTTAGTAGCAATTGATAAGAAACACGTGGCTATTAAGAAACCACCAAACAGGCTCATACAACTATAATTACAAATTCCTTTTAGTGTTGATTGATGGTTGTTATGATTCAAATTGAGTTTATTATGGTGAATGCCAATGTAAATGGACTGGAATATCAGAAGAAGTATTTTGGGTTATAGAGGCAATTCTACATATTGCCTAATAGCGAGAAGTTTGTTGTATATCCACATTATGTCTAAAGAAAACCCTATAATTTTCTTAGCATGTTGCTATTTGCTTGTATAAATACTAATTAATTAAATAATTGACACCGACACTCCAAAAATTTTCTCACAAATGCAGAAATCGTAAGAGACAAACTACACATTTATATTAAACTACACTTGGTTTTATTATTAACTGCTGAAGCGTTACTACCATCGTTAAACTCCTCATTGTCTTTGTTTTCTACTTCATTCATACTACTTCAAGATGTAGGCGTTTCTTCCTGGTCTATGAAAAACTTCATTTCTTCACAGTACCATAACACTTTATACTTCTTTATATTTCAGACGAAGATTTCTGTTGCTATAATCTTTGCTCTTGACATTCCACAAAGCTGGTAAAAATGATATAATTCTACACACTCTAAAACAAATGTTCTTTCTTCTTCCTTTGCTTCCATAACCACATTTTCAATAGAAATCAACACTATTTTGATTTACTCAATATATTCCACAACCTTTCATTATACATAGTACAATATCAAAACATTGCGCGATAATATTGACCGTTTAGGGATTGACCGGATAGGGATAAGGTGTGGATGATTTCAGAGAGCATCCAATTTTGGTTTTGCATCTAATTTCAAATAGATGAGAGATATTGCAGTTACTATTGGTGACGTGGCTACCAGAGTAGGTAACTGACACGTGTTTACGAGTTTTCCTCGCGCGCCGTTCTTTATTTGTTGAAGTTGGCAACTCCGACAAAACAGAAGCTTTGTATAGAAACCCACGCAAATAAGGAAGATATTGGGAAGATCACAAAAAACAACTAATGGTAAATAAACAGAAATAGTATAAAGATAACCTTGAAATGCTTAGGAAACTATTTGATTGAGTAAAATTCCTGTGAAAAAGCAGAATTTTGGAAAATGCTAACACATAACAACAAAGAAATAAGGAAAGATCGAAAAAGCAAATTGAAACATTCATCAAAGAAACGGTTTCTGGTATAGCACTTCTTATCTCATCAACACAGTCCAAAAATAATAGATTTATATTTTTTTTGTATTTTAGCTACTGCGATGCAGTATTTCTTGTTTTACGAAACATTACATTTACAGAGATTTACGTTGATTTATTTTACGTGGAATTGGTGAATTTCATGTTCATGAAACAAAAACCATTTCATTTAATAAATAAAACACACTAATTGTTACGCTTGGTGGACATTTAATGAAATTTATATGCAAAATAGATTAAATCCATCTAAAAGTTTAACTTTTTAATGAATATATTTTCAAAACCATATAACTCCACGAAAACATATTACATCCAAACTTTTGAAACGGTGTTAATATCTTTTATATCTATTAGCTATATGGATTATTTATAAAATATAAATAATACTTACTATCACTATAATAATACTAAGTACTACTGTAATAATACTTACTTACTAATATCTTGTTAATACTCTCCTTTTCTTTTCATGTCATCGAAAGACGTTGAAAATGATCCATTAAACCTTCTTCGATGATATTTTCCTTAAAAGAAGAATGTCGTCGTCACTACTAAATCGTAGTCTTTTTGCGTATTACTCGTCTTGGAGCGCGAATTGTCGAGATATACTACGCGACACGACCATTACGACTATAAACTGTTCAAATTGTAATCAAACGGGAATGGTGCCAGACGGATGTGGAAGTCGCCCAAGAAAATTCTTAGAAGTAACTAACACTCATACGTAGTATGTCGATACTTACGGGTTTCGTGATAGAACAAGGATGACTTTTTTTTAGCTAAATAAGGTAAAACCCATAACTCTAATAGGGTTAAAGTTTAGAATTCCCATCAAACTTAGTTATTGACGTGGAAGAATAGCTTAATCTTGAATGACATACTAGTGTTGATGGTACTAATAGGGTTACTCTTCTAAGTGAAATAAATCATCAATAAGATTTGAAATTTCTACTACCATTCTTGAGTAATTCGTGAGTTTCTAATATTTCAGAAGGTTTTTGAATACGGATTTTGCATACTGTAGCTTAGTCTTGAAACTATTCATGGTAAGGCACCCTAGTCAATACCTAATCCTTTTTGTAGAAGAAACGATTTGTAAACGTTTAATTCTCGAATTCTGCTACCAATTCTATTCTTAAAATAATGACAGATATGGAAACATCCCATTCCTTCAGATCCTTCCCTATGATATCTATAAATAATTGGAGATTTAGACCGCAGTTCATATTTTGATCTTATAATTTCTCGTCATTAAAACAGCTTGAATCCATTGGTTAGTCACCCCTACAAAGAAATATGCTAAATTAACTGCTTTAGTTACTTTTACCATAATTTTCAGGTTTTTCCCTATGCCTTTGCAAAAAGTACCTCATTTTAGTTGATTTTACTCAGTATGATAAACGATTAATTCAAAAAGTCCTTCAAATTTGTGCCAAACATATTTATCGTGTCATCTAACCTCAAAAACCTGAACGAAATATAAAATAAAAATAGGAAACTGTAAAAAATTACCGCAACCCTTTAAAACCTTAACCTACAAATCTAAATTATAAGATTATTACAATAATTTCCATATTTCACGTGTTTTTCATACTTTAAAGATCATTTTAGCATTATTAAGGCTGTTTCATTCTGTAATGAATAATAAAAATAAGCTTCTATTAATACTTGGAACAGCTGTAACTTTACACTTAACCTTTCTGTTCGTAAAACCGCTCGTAATCGGAAAAAAAGAGGTTAAATATCCTGAACATAAATAAGTCAATTTGTTCGTTGTTATGCGAATTCGACGGCCTGCAGGATTGTCAGGGATTCAACTCGGCGTTGCAGTTTGCATAGGTGTTCTAGGAGGTATTTACATTTGGAAACCACTACTGATTAGATATAAGCGAGAAAATCTACCAAAAGAAAACTAAAAATGTCTAATTGGAAACTACAACAAAGAGGAAATCCCATAATGCTGTTTGCGGCGTTTATGGGGTTTGTGGGTTGTTTTTATGGTGGTTATAAAATGTATTTTAAACCATGGGCTATGCGTCGAAGATTGCAAGAAGCTGAGAATTATGCTAATATTTTGTATGAAAAAGAAAGAAAACAGGAATTAGAAAATTAAATGCTTTAATGGATTAGTATTTCCATTGTAATTATGTAAGAGTTAGTAATAAATCTTTTAAAGAGGAGGTGGATTTTTATTTAAGACTACTAAAGGTTCATATAAACATTAATTTAAACTATTTTCATTCATCCTTAACATATTTTCCATTATAATATGGTAGGAATTGTAAGACAGTTTTCCATTCTGTGAAGTAACACATCCCTATTCCTGCAGCAGCCCCAAACGTGACTCCAGAACTAACCCTACATCAAAAAATGATTACATAAGAAGTTATTATTTTATAACCATAATAGATTTTTTTTAAATAATTAATTTACCATAAAGATAGGATATCGAGGTGTTTCTTTCCAAACTTATTTAATACGGACATCTTTTCAGTTATAAAAAACTTTTGATTCTTTGGAATTATTTGGAAAAGGTTGCTTTTAGATTTGACAATCTGTCAGATTTCGTTGGTTATTTAATTTAATTTATGGTGGTCAGACTGTACGGAATTAAGCGCTAAATATAAATATTTATCTAAAAATTATTCAAATAATTTACCTTACTTACAAAAATTAATTTATTTATATCAAATAATTTAAATAAACTTAAATCTTCAAATAAATCAATAAATTTGTTTTATTTATAAAATATTATTATTATACGTAGGTATAACGACAAGAAAAACATAACCTCAATAGTGTGATACAAAAATTTATTTAAAAATGCAAAAACACAAAATGCATCCACGAAATATTTATAACACCCGTTTAGATTTTAAAGTATTATCGGAAATTTCACCAGAATTCAAACAACACCTCATATTAGTAAGTTTGATTTACTTCGTAATTATGATTATTAATTGTTTCAATTTTTTAGAAACCGAATGGAAAATTAACAGTGAAATTTCAAGATCCCGAAGCATTACGTTCCTTGGCGAAGGTCCTCTTAAAAAAAGATTTTAATTTAGACATAGAAATTCCAATAAACACTTTGGTTCCAACAATACCATTACGTTTAAATTACATTTTATTTATTGAGGATATACTGGATGGTTTGAATATGAATTCGGATGTGATTGGGGTTGATATAGGTACAGGGGGGTCATGTATTTATCCTTTACTTGCATCACGGAAGAATAATTGGAAAATGATTGGAACAGATTCAAATTCAGTTAATTTTAAATACGCTTCAGCAAATGTAGCTAAAAATAATTTGGGGGAAAATATAAAAGTTATTCAAGTTTCTGGTGAAAATACTTTAACAGAGTTATTAGAAAAAGATAATTTGTTATATACATTTTGTATGTGTAATCCACCATTTTTTAGTGGAGTAAATGATTTATATAAATCTAGAAATCCTAATAGAAAGAAGCCAAATAATGGGTTTTGTGCTAGTTCCCATGAAATTATAACCGACGGTGGTGAATTAGATTTTGTACAAAAAATAATCTTGGAAAGTCATAATTTTAAAGATCGAATTAAAATATTTTCAAGTATGTTGGGAATAAAAAGAAATTTGAAGCAACTCATCCACGTTTTGAAACAATCAAATCAAGTTAAATCATTTATAAGCACCGAATTTTTTCAAGGAAACACTACCAGATGGGCCTTAGCTTGGACATTCTACGATTACGATTTAAACAAAATAAATCAAATCAATAAAAATCCAAAACCAATAAAACCATTTTCTTATTCTCAAAATTATAATGGTTCAATTGAAAACGTTGGGATAAAAATTGAGGAGATTCTAAATGAATTAAAAATGGATTTTAAAGTATTAGAAAAGGGTGGTTTTACGAGACATTATAATTTAAAAGCATATTTTAATACTTGGACACATAATCGTAAGCGACGAAGAGAAGCGAAACGGATGGAGAAGATTATGGGAGGAGTAATTCCAATGGACCATGATAAAGTTGAAGAAAACGACGAAAAATCTGCCGAAATGGACACTTCATTTGAAGATAAACATGAAGGAGGAGCTGCTAATGTTGTTTTTAAACGAAAAATGTCTGAATCTGATGAAGATTTTCAAGATGAAAATAAAAAAGTTCATGGTGAAAATGTAAATAACGTTATGAGTAATACTCCTAAACTAATTGAGGCGTCCATTTATGTGAATTTAAGGAAAAATAATCAATTAGAAATAGAAATAACTCCTTTATCAGATACAACAAATCGTAATAGTTTACATGAAATACTTCAATATTTTAAAAATCATTTAATTTTAGATTGAAAATTTGTTAAAAAATGTTTTTAATACGTTAATTTGTGAATTGTTCTAAATAAAGTATGTTTATATTAAATATGCAGGGTGTTTCATAATATATGCGCAGGACTTCAGGATGTATAGCTTGTCCTAAACATTGAAAAAAAAATTCTATCAACTTACCCTCTAAAATGCATCATTTTCGAGATACAGGGTGTTGAAATTTAATAAAAAAAATCGTTTTTTGCGTATATCTCCGGAACCGTTTATCATACAGAAAAGAGCGTTTGTAAGCATTTTCGACTCATAATAAGCTAAGCTTTCGTGCAAAAAAAATTTTTTTAAAGTCAATTGGTGAAGATTTTGAATGGGTAGTGGTTGTTTTTCTCCTCAACTTCTACGCCACTGGAAAAAGTATGGTTTTGAGACGCCCATTTGAACCGTCAATGTTTTCTACACAAAAAGGTAGCGTAGGTCATGAGCTCTAAAGTTGACCGTTTTCTAGAAAGATCAACTTTTATATTGAAATTTATATCAATTTTTTTAAATAAAAATTTTATTTTACAATTAAACAAAATTAATGTAAACGTTAGAACAAGTAACAAAAGCAAGCGTTCACTTCATATTTGCAAAATAAAGAAAATGAAACAAAAATTATCTTTTCAAAATTCTAAAAACCGTAAAGGTAACGCATTTCCCACAGTTCAGCGTTTGTGTTGTTTTAACAAGTAGGCTTTAAATTTTATAAAAGCTACCTCCTGTCAAAATAACAATTAGTTTCTACCTGCAAAAAGTAAACTTGTATTACAAAATTAAAAATGAATTACACAAACACTGAAATCTGCGAAACGCATTACCTTTACGGAATGGCGTGCGGCGATTCGGCAGAAGCAAGGCGGTTGTATCAAGAAAGACATCCTGATCGCCCAGGACCACACCATAACTTGTTTTTACGCATTCACCAACGACTATGGGAAACTGGAAGTTTTAAAAGGAATACTGCTGATAATAGGCAGCCTTTGGAAGTTGCAAATCCCCAAGTAGAAGGGGCTGTCCTCAACGAAATTGATGAAAATCCGACCACAAGTACCAGAAAAATTGCTCACAACCTAAAGCTATATCACTCGACGGTTTGGAGAATTTTGAAAAGGCAACTTTAGTATCCCTACCATATCCAAAGAGTACAAGCCTTATTCCCAAGAGATTTTCCGCCAAGATTGGCTTTTTGTACATGGATGCAAGACAAAATAGCTCAAAATCCTGAGTTTCGAACCGAAGTTCTATTTACCGATGAAGCATCTTGCTCGAAGGATGGTATTTTCAATTTTCACAATAACCACATATGGGCAGAAGAAAATCCACATGAAATTGTAGAAGGCCATCATCAGCAACAATTTTTTTTCTCGCTTAGCTTATTATGAGTAGAAAATGCTTACAAACGCTGTTTTCTGTACGATAAATGGTTCTGCAAATATTCGCAAAAAACGAATTTTTTTTTATTAAATTTCAACACCCTGTATCTCGAAAATGGTGCATTTTAGAGGGAAAGTAGATAGAAACTTTTTTCAAATTTTTGGACAAGCTATCACACATCCTGAAGTCCTGCGCATATATTATGAAACACCTGTATTGTAATGTTTCCAAAATTTATTGTCTCTTGGCAACAACAAAAAAAATACAAACTTCACTTAACACAAAATTGTAAAAAATAGTATATTGTTTTATATGGAAGAGAAGCAGTGCTTTTTATGGCGTGGTCTGTCGCTTAGCGACGAACGCAGTGAGTCGCTAATGACAGATGAGCCGTTAAAATTGTGGCGTGTCCGACAGTTTGCCGGACGAACGAAGTGAGTCCGGCAATGACGGACCAGCCACAAACGAATCTGCTTCTCTTCCGAATAAAACATAGTATTTTTTCTTCAAACGTTGCAAATAATACGGCGCTAAAGTGAAATGTTCTTCAACGTTATGGCGCTAAAGTGAAATTTACTTTAGCGCCATAACGCTGAAGTACTTTTTTGCTATGTTGATCTTAGCAACCGTCGTTATGCAACAATGACTTACTTCTACCGCGAGTAAACACGACAACAAAGTTGTCATTTAATGACGTTTGAAGAAAATAGTATATTGTTTTATATGGAAGAGATTATTTTTTTATGTTATGGCGCTAAAGTGAAATTTACTTTAGCGCCATAATGTTGAAGTACTTTTTTGCTATGTTGATCTTAGCAACCGTCGTTATGCAACAATGACTTACTTCTACCGCGAGTAAACACGCCAACAAAGTTGTCATTTAATGACGTTTGAAGAAAAAAACTGTTGGACGCCAAATGTCTTATTTCAAACTCCTGTTAGGACTCCACTTTCAGGATCACAGCAAGATTATCGCAAAGTAACGTTTTTCTAACACAGCGTTTCTCAACCTGTGGGGCGCCCCCCTCCTAGGGAACACACTGTTTTGACACACTCATTAACAGTTTTTTTGTTTCACGTTTCTGCTCCACAGCTCCAATTTTCTATAAAAAGCACTAACTTTATCACTGCTATCCAACATATGCGTGTTTGCTCCTTGGTGTTGTAGATTCAGGGTATTTAATTTCTCGAATATGTCGACCAAGTAACTCAATTTCATCACAAATAAAGCATCTCTAAACTGTTCTGCTTCCGGGCCGTTTTTCTCTTCTAAAAAAGTGGCAATTACCTCTTTTAACTCATATTTTGAAGGTCTGTAATTAAGTTCTATATTAGGGCTCTCTGCACTAAGGGGATTAGGGTCAAAATTTTCAACGTATAATATACGTCATATTTTATTATTATATGAAAAAGAAAGCCATAAAAATTGTTATTGAAAATTGGGCCCCGAATACTAAAACGTTGAGAAAAGCTGTTCTAATACTCAACTTCCAGAATCACATACAAATTATTTTATAAAAATATACAGGATGTGTCAAATGTCTGGAATATAGCCAATAATTTCGCTATTTGTGGTTTTAACGAAAAATGTTTCAAATACAAGTTTCTTTATTAATCGTGGCGCATTTTTTGGCGAAATTTGCTTGTTTGTATTGTATTTTGTTTCGTTGCTATGGTAACCAACATTGTTGTTTTAAATGAAATGCATATATGTTTTGCATACTTTGATAGAGAATAAATCCCTCTATACGATGAACATATCAAATCATGTTGTATAAGAAATAAATCAAGAATAATCGCGTTTTCTAAAAATAATAAGACAGCAAATTACAACAGTTTCAACAATTATGAATATATAATTATTAATTAATAATGTATGGGTACGGTGACACACATTTAATGTAATTTCGTCATTTTCGGTGTTAAAGCATTTTTTTTCGTATTCATTTAGTAAAAGACTCCACATACACTTAATTATCAATTCTTCCTTTTAATAAAGTTATCAATGCCAAGTTCAGTATTTTAAGTCATTTAATTTTAGATTGAAAATTTGTTAAAAAGTGTTTTTAATTCATTAACTTGTAAATTGTTTTAAATAAATTGTTTCTATTCAATAGCTTTATTAAAACCTAACCTTAAAAATCCTTGTACCAAAAAGTGAGGTTATGTAACCGTGTTATAACAGTTATAAACTAGTGTTATAAACAGCCATCAAAAACGTTTTAAAATCAACAAAAATTACTAATTTTAAATGGATAAAGAGTATGCATCGCGTTTATTACCCCCATCTAAAGATACAGCAAGACCTGCGTGTAAAAAATGTGGATATGCAGGACATTTAACGTTCCAATGCAGGAATTTTATAAAAGTTGATCCGAACAAAGAGATTCTTTTGGATGTAAGCAGCACAAGTAGTGAAAGTGATCAAGATTATCTAACACCCCTCACGGAGTTAAGAGAAAAAGAATTAAAAGATAAATTAAAAAAGGCTAAGGCAAAAAAGAAAAAGTCCAAAAAAAAATCGAAAAAGAAGAAACGTAAGAGGAGTGAATCAGAAAGTGAAAGTGATAGTGAATCTGATGATGATAAAAATTCAAAGTCCAGGGAAAGTGAAAGTACAAGGAGTAAAGATAAGAAAAAAAAGGCGAAGAAGAGAAAACGGAGGAGTTCATCATCTGATTAATTGTATTTTTTTTTTAAGTAAATAGATAATAAAGATTTTAAAAATAATAAAATCGTTATTTAAATTTAAAGGGTTAAAATATGGTTATGATTTATAACACTATTTTAGGGATTTTAATTTTTCAGTGTTGCCGTTTGTTTTCATTTTTCCATTATTAGTCACCATTCTGTCACTTTGACGTTTTAAGGTTTTAATACTTCTAAATAAAAGAGATGGTTTTTGAAGAAGGTAGAATTAAACAATGGCTAATAAACGTAAGTATAATTTTCATCTTTATATGTAATCTCTAAAAAAATTACTCGCTTAACATTTCTTTTTAGTATATAAACCCTGGGATGGCTTTCAATGATATTAAATCAGTTGTAACGCATTACACAGCGTTGCATCCAACAAAAGAAACTTACAGTATGACTAAGAATAATTTAATAATCTTATGTAAAAATTGTTTATTTTTTATAATTTATTAGTTTTTAACGATGGTACCCCAATGGAATTAGTAAATTTACAAGGAACCATACCTGTAACGTATAAAAGCGTAGTTTACAACATCCCCATTATTATTTGGCTAATGGATACACATCCTCAACATGCTCCATTGTGTTATGTAAAACCCACCCCAACAATGAATATAAAGGTTTCTAAATATGTCGATCAAAATGGAAAGATTTATTTACCATATTTACATGAATGGGCTCAAGATAAATCAGAATTATTAGGATTGGTACAGGTTATGATTGTTACATTTAGTGAACAACCACCTGTTTTTGCGAAAGTTAAACCTAAAGAAGCGCTTTATCACCCATCAAGTAAACTAAAATTAAAAAAATTTAAATACATTTTTAATTAATTCAATTTTTAGTTAATAACAGCTTCCCTAATTCGGTCTTCATGCAACAACCACCTTATCCCACTCACAGTCCTTATCCTCAACCTAGTTATCAAGGGATGATGCCGCAAGCAGCGCAAAGTGGTTATCCCCCTGGTGGTTATCCACTTTACCCCACACCTTATCCAGCTTATCCACCACAACCATCATCAATGATTAATACAGGGACAGGAACGATAAAAGAAGAACATATTAAAGAATCATTATTGACAGCTATAGAAGAAAAATTAATGAGGCGCATGAAAGAAGAGTTTCAACAAAACCAAGCTGAATTGGATACTTTGAAACGCACTCAAGATGAATTGAAACAAGGTAGCTTAAAATTACAGGTGGTTTTGGAAAGATTGGAAAAAGAAAAAAGTGATTTGGATAAAAATATTACGGTGCTCAAAGATAAAGAACAAGAATTGGATAAAGCTATTGAAAGATTGAGTAATCAGGAATCAATGGATGTTGATGATGCTGTTATTACAACCGCCCCATTATATAAACAGTAAACAAAATCATATATTGAACAAAATTGATTATTAATTATTAAATTGTTTGTAGGCTTTTAAATGCTTTTGCTGAAGAGGCAGCATTAGAAGATGCAATATATTACATGGGGGAAGCTTTAAGAAGTGGAGTGATCGATTTAGAAGTCTTTTTGCGTCAAGTCCGTACTTTATCAAGAAAACAATTTATGCTGAGAGCTTTAATGCAAAAATGTCGACAAAAAGCGGGACTTACCGTTGTTTGAATTTGCCATTTAAAGTTATAAATTTAAAGATTAAACAAAATATAACCTTTATAATAACGTTACAACGCCTATTATATTAAAAATCAAATAGCAAATACATATTTTATTTATTTTCTTAGCAAGCACGTATTTAAATTGCATGAAAATAAATGCACAAAAAAAATCTGATAAGAAATTATAGAAGTTTGTAGAAATATATATATATCTATATTCAAAGTTTTTTTCTGTTTAAATTTTGATACTCATAAATCCCTATATTTAACAATAAGAACTTAAATCATGATAAGGAAATGATGATTATTATGACTAACTTATTCCTTTACATGGGTTAACCCCTCTTTAACCCTAGGATACTTAACCAATAAAATAACTATAGTAACTATATATGTATTGATAATCTTGCTGGATTATTTACATAAACCAATGAACGATTTCAGTACTAAATGAAAGCTTAAAATTCCTCTTTAAAATAATGTACGTTTATGGTCATTATTTATGGTTGAGAGTTCATCATCAATTATAAGGATAATGTTATCTGTTTTATGGAAAAGGCTGATGTAGGATAAGAATGATAAGAATATATCTCGAAAAGAGATAGAAAAACCCAAATAAAATTACGTTTTTATATACAGGATGTTTCATTTAAAATGACATATGCTTATATCTCAAAAACAAAAACTCGAATAGAAAAAAGTTTCAGGTAAACATTTTTTGGTGAGAAGGAGGACACATTGTACAGATGAACAGAATTTTTTTCAGGGTTGCCTAAAGGCCCTTCTGACGTCATTTTTATTTTTTCAAATGACACATACTTTTTTCTTTCAAAGTCTTAAACAACTTGACAAACATATTACTTTTTGCTTAAAAATTTTTTTTCGTAAACTCTCCGTTGTGAAGATATCAACAAAAACAAAATACTTAACAAAATGTTTCAAAATGTAATTAAAAAAAAATAATTAATAAATAAAAAACGATTTAATTAATCGTAAAATAATATTAAAATTCTTCTTAACTTTTGAAATCGTCTTAGAAAATTGATTAAAAAAATTTTTTTTTTAATGTTTATAAATCCGAGTAAATCCTGGTTTGGATGTGCGCTAACTTGCACGTGGGATAAAAATTTCAAGCGAAAAAATCATTGTGATCAAGGCAAAAATGGAGCACTTCTCTACTCCACAGAAAATTCAGATGGTGTTAGCTTACGGTGAAAGTCGTGAAAATTTCGCTGAAGCCCATCGCATTTATGTTCGAAAATTTCCTGGAGAAAGAGCGCCTTGTCCTAAAACCGTTTATATCGGATAGTTACAAAATTTCTGGAATGTGGGAACGTGGAGGACCTTTTCTTATTGATGGCAACTTGAATGGCAGAAAGTATCGGAATTTTTTGTTGAACGATTTACCAGTTTTGTTGGAAGACCTTACTCTGGAGCGAAGACTTGCGCTATGGTATCAGTATGATGGATGTCCATCTCATTATGCTCTAGCCGCAAGAGAAGTTTTAGACGAAATGTTTCCTGAAAAATGGATAGGACGTAATGGACCGGTGAATAGGCCAGCTAGATCACCCGACTTAACTTCTTCCGATTTCTTTCTTTGGGGTTACCTCAAAGAGAAAGTTTACAACCAGGTTCCAACAACCCCAAACGATATGAAAAACCATATCAGAGCAGCTTGGGAATCAATAACTGAAGAAATGCTTGGCAATGTGCAGAGAACGTTTTCAATGAGAATTCAGAAATGTTTAGAATTGAATGGTCATCATTTTGAGCATTTAATCGATGTATAAAGGTAACTTTATAAATTTTAATCAATGTTCTAAGGTGATTTCAAAAATGAAGAAGAATTTTAGTACTATTTTTAGTACGATTAATTAAATCGTTTTTTAATTACATTTTGAAAAATGTTGTTTTATTTTTCTTTTTGTAGATATCTTCATAACGCAGAATTTAAGAAAACAATTTTTTAAGCAAAAAATACTTAGTTTGTCAAGTTGTTCAAGACGTTGAAAGAAAAAAGTATATGTGCGATTTGAAAAAATGAAAATGACATCAGAAGGGCCTTTAGGCAACCCTGAAAAAAAATTTCGGACTTTCTAGTGTGCTGGGCTCTGAATCGTCTCACGTCATTATTCCTAGCCTCCTGTGTCTCCTCTGAAAGCTGCCCTATTGGAACAAGGGCTAAAAAGCCATGTAAAAGGATTTTATGTTGGCTGGGAGACATCCTGTACCAGCCATATAGATCCACAAACAGTTTGAAAGTATCATAGGTAAATGTGTTTTCTTTTTTTTTTTCTTGTCATTGTCATAGTGAACAATTTGAGGAAATTGTTTTATAAATGCATGAAAAATGATTCCAAATCTAGATAGTAATGCATGATAGCATGCAGCGCTTCATCTGCATGCTTAAAAAATCGGTAGGAAACGTTCCTGGTGTTGGTCGTCCCACTTGCTTGAACTACTTTGGCTGCGTTGGAAAACTTCCTGTACAGCCATCAATGACCTCAAAAACTCCCCAGATATCAACTTTGAGTAAATTTTCCTTTTTTTGCAATTTTAGTTTTCTATATTGTATCCGCCATCATGATATTTGAAAAGTTTATAATTCTGAACCCAGATTTATAATCAGCACCCCAAAAGATCCCACCAATACCAAGTTTTATAAAAAAAATCAAGAGAAAATGAAAAAGTGTTAAACAAATTGAAGAATTTTTGTTATATCTCAATTAATGGTTCATTATGGCCCTTAATAAAGAAATTCTCAAAATTAGAAGTCAATTTGCGCATTAAAATGTAAAGAATTTTTCAATTTTCACAAAGCAAAATCACACTCTTTTATATTTGAATGATTATGAATTTACCTTCTTCAATCTGACGTTTTCAGTGCTTGAAACTTCTTCTTAAAAGGTATCTAAAGAAGTTAGGTTAACACTCAAATAAAAATAAACAATGTCGCCAAACAGATTATATAAAGGAAGATCATATTAATGAGAGAGAGTGTCTGACAGTCTATTTGTATTCAACAGTTTTCAAAATAACTTCTTATACACTATTGTTCATATAATAATAAATTTATTGTGGAAAGAGGTTTACTGAAGTCTTGAGAAAAATTTCCTATACCTGAAAACCTTAAATTTTGTCATTGATTTTTACTTTTGTTCAGCTAGAATTGGGATTCAGCTGAGTGTGTGGCATCAACATATATTTTGACTTAATGAACTTCTGTGTTGGAATAAAAAAAGCTTATCATTTTCTTCCTTTGCCTTTGCTTATCAAAAGATAAAGAAGGATTCAGCCTTTTACAAGGTAATATTGGCTTTCTTAACAACTTGAGGTCCTCCTGCTCTGGAGTATTATAATTTTACTTTGGCGCTGATGTAGGATTCTCATGTCATTCCCTGAAGTCGGTTGAGATGCTTTGTCAATTACATTAAAAATCAATCTGTAAATATCTTATTTATTTTTTTAACAAAACCATATTATTCAAATTGTATTAAATGCACAAAAATTGAATGATGAGAGATTATAGAAATATATATACTTACATACAAAATCTTTTTTAATAAATTTTATTATACATAAATGCCTACACTTAACAATAAGAATAAAATTCCAAAACCAGAGAAAATTGATGCAACTAACGAAAGAAGAAGTTCCTTTTTAATATCCCTGGAAGCTTTTGTACTTGTTACTTCATAAACAAAGAACCAGGCTGTGAAAAATATCCCAATACCAAGAAGAACAAGTGTTAAATGAGGGAATATCGCCGGATTTACCGGGGATGCGTATCTGGATAATGAATCAAAAGCATCCTAAAACATGAAATAATAATTTCAATATTGGACATCTTAAAACCATCAAATACAAACCATTTTTAATATAATCAAACGTGGCAACTTAGAAATTGAAGAAATACACCGGTTTAGAGCGGGTGTAATACGTTTGACAGGACGTGTAATATTAAAATGACGTATACAAACAGGGGCACCACATTATTTTTTATTGTTAAAAAGTATTTCTGAATTTAATTATATTTTAGTCAAGGTTGTAATAATAATGATTTATATCCATCGTGCATCAATTTTAATTAAATTTAAAATATAATTACTTTAAAAATTTAATTTAATATTCCAAGTTTACCAACATACTTTAGTAATCAATTTTTCTATATATTAACTATACCGCCACTTTAAATATTTGAAATATTAACTGCATAACTTTTATACACCAAAGACTACAAGATTTTTTAAAATTTATTATTAATTAATTTTAAAGACTGAAATAAAATTTTTTTTCCTATAAGATGAAAAATGTGTCAGTCGGTATTGCAGGAATGCGGTAGTTTAAGGTTTGGCATATCTCGTTAAAAATATTTTCGTTCTGTGTCTATAAAAACTAATTTGAAAAAATAAACAATACCTCTTCAAATACAGAATTTCAGTTCATATTTAATCTTCAAAAAAGTGTTCATCAATTCTTAATTGCGTTTGGGTAAGTATTTGATTCAAACATTTATTTAAAACATAAAAGGGGGTGTTAAAGTTCATGTGGCGTTTGACGTTTGACAGATGTCATCTAATAAGATAAATTTTGTTGCCCCCGGCGTAAATACGCGGTTAATTCGTTCAATTAGCCGGCGAGTTTAAGCGCTTTCATCACGATTCGAATCGTCGATGTTTAGGCGCTTGACGAGTTGAACAGCCTTTGACCCAATGGCCTATTTAAATGAACGACTTTGGTGCTGAACGAAGATGAAGTATTAAGAGACCGCGTATTTTTGTACCATTCATGGGATGAATGAGGAGGATTTATTGAAGAGATCGGCCGAGGAGCGCGAGAAAATCTTCAAGAGGTATGAGTTGGGTAGAGCGGAGGGTGCCGAAATTGATCCCTGGGAAGACCCACATTTTGAAGTTTACCATGTCACGGACAGGTATGGTTTTATGCACGATAAACCACTACCTTCCAAAGACTCGCATGAAATTAAAAAGGAACAGATTGAGTTAGAACGTATCAAGAAATGGATGAAGATGTTGAAATCGTGGGAGGAGAATGAAAAGTTAAAAGAGAAAGAGGATAAAGGGAAAATGAGGAAAATTAATGATTTAAAAGCGAGTAATAAAAACAATAAACATTTAAAATCTATGGAAAGAGTTAATGAATGGGAATCTGTTCATAAAGAAAAATTACACAGGAGAGTTTATAAAGGTATTCCTAATTCGTTAAGATCTCAAGTTTGGTGTAAATTATTAAATGTGGGGAAACATAAATCGGAAAAACATGGGGAATACGAACGTATGTTAAAATTAGCGCGAAAATACTCTACTGATGCCCGTCAAATCGATTCTGATGTAAATAGACAATTTAGGGAGCACATTTCCTTTAGAGAACGTTATAGCACCAAACAACAATCACTTTTTAACGTTCTAACCGCTTATGCCATGTACAACTCTGAAGTTGGTTATTGCCAAGGAATGTCTGGGGTTGCAGCCGTTTTACTCATGTATATGGACGAAGAAGATGCATTTTGGGCGCTACATATACTCCTATCAGAGTCAAAATATGCAATGCATGGATTGTATAAAGAAGGATTTCCAAAATTAAATCGATTTTTAGAACATCATGATCGAATTTTAACGAAATTTATGCCAAAATTAAAGAATCATCTTGATAAACATGGTTTGGATGCTATTTTGTATTCGCTGAAATGGTATTTTGTTTGTTTTGTCGAAAGGGTATGTTTTTTTTTTGTTTTTGATTATGATATTTGTTTATAAATAATTTCTATTATTATAGGTTCCTTTTAATTTATGTCTTCGGATATGGGATATTTATTTGTTAGATGGTGAAAGAGTTATAACAGCTATGGCTTATACAATTCTTAAGATGCATAAACGTAGCTTAATGAAATTAAAAGATATGGATTCAATAACCCAATTTATTCAAGTAATTATTCTTATGAAATTAATTAGATTTTTTTTAATTGTATTGGTACAATTGATTGAAACACACAAAGTTACCTCCTTAATTTCGTTTATTAATTAAACATGGTCAATTATGACCTTTCTGGAAACAGTCCCATCATTCAAATTCTATTGTAAGTGTTAAATGTGATTCCTTATTAAAACCTATTAAACTGATAAGTGCAAGAGCAAAGTTAAACTTTCTTAAAAGTTCAAAAAAATGAAATATTGTACCTAAGCATATTTCAAAACATAGCAAAAGATAGATAATATCTTTTATAAAGATTATTCAAAAAGTAAATTCCTTCTATATGATAATTTCAATAAAAAAAGTTTTAAATTTAGAAATAAAACAAACTTATTGGTTAATAAACATAATTAAAAACCATATTTCAAGAATAATATCTAGAATAACTGAAAATAATTTGAAACTTAATATCCAAGAAAAAATTGAAATGATAATAATAATTATTCATATATGAAATGGCAGACCATCAAATATAAACTCTACAAATTCGATATAAGTAAAATTAAAAATAAGAAATAGATTTTACCACATTTTCTAACAAGGGAAGTGTCACGACTGATCACGATTTTGATGAAATTTGGTACACTTATAGAATGGGGCAAAATAAGGTTCGCACATTTTTTTATACGTGCGGTAAAAGCCCCTGGGCGAGTTATAGGAGTTGAAAGTTTGGAGAAAAAGTACGTTTCTACTTATATTTTGAAAACGAAAAGTGCTATCAAAATTTCGTAAATTGTAGCTTGTATTCATTTTAAAAGAGCTTTCTTTTGATGTATCACACATATACCAGAGGGTTAAAAGGGGCGAACTACCCCTTTTTTTTCGGGTTTATTTAAGAACCACCCTATCGATTTTGATGATGTTAAATATACTTGTAGTGCATTCAAAAATATTAGTTAAGTGTTTTTTAAACTCGGGTATTTTGAAAATACTTTAAACAAAACCGTAAATTAATCGCACAATAAAATGTTAAGTGTAAAATAAGGCATAATACACCATTTAGGGGTGGTTGGGGTTAACCACCCCCTTAAAAATTAATTCTATCCCGGGCGTTACTTGTCGATCACAGCGAAATTTGACACTGTGTTTGTTTTATATTTGAAGTAAACATTTTTGAAAATGGTTATAAAGGTTACAAATTAGGGGTAGTTTTTTGTTTATATTTCGAAAATGAAAATTGCCATCGTAATTTGTTAAATGTAGTATTGTTTTTTTTAATATCTATCTATATGGATGTTCCACCAGGTGAACTACCCCCATTTTCTTTAAATAATAAATATAAAACTACTAGATAAATAAGGTAGCAACTACAATCTTTAAGGCAGACAATATATACGTTTTGGCACCAACATCTGGAAAGTTAACTTCAGAACACATAAAAAATTGGCTACAAAATGTATATTTTCCAAATACTGGTTCTAAATCATTATTATTATTAGATTCTTGCAGTAGCCATTGTCCTGAAGTTATTAGTGAAATAACTCCGTCAGATACTCATTTTAAACATTTATCTATACCTGCAGGGACAACAGGTCAAATACAGCCCCTAGATGTATTTGGTTTCAGAATATGGAAAAATTTTATTAGAAGATTCTCTGATCAGATTATTCTTTACCAGTATGATATCAATTTACATCAGAGGGATAATATATTAAAATTGCAATCCCTAAGCATAACCAGTTGTCTTCCCCACGGTTTATAAATGTTTTTAAATACGTATGGTTTGCAAGTGGCTATACAGAGTGTCCCGTATCTTCCGCATCAGAGCATTATGCGGTTGTAGGATACGTTATTCTGAAGAGATTTTTTAAATAAATTTAACGTAAGTTTAACGACGTCCAATAACGGACGACTTTAATTCACAGAAAAAGTTCATTTCTCTTTCCTTGTCGAATCTATTGGTGAGTATACGTGGAAAACGAGTTATTATCGGCGTAGCGGACCGGCCGAGGATGGCACCGATTTTATTAGAAAGATCGCTTCAGAATAATGTATCCTACAACCGTATAATGCTCTGTGCGGACGATACGGGACACCTGTATAGAGGAGAGACTAGACCATTTTGAAAATCCCGTGGAAGTTTGCTTTTTGAGTGAAAAGCCAATGTGTGATTTCTGTGGGGATATAGCGGTCATAACATGTGCATGGTGTAAAAAATCCTTATTTTAAAACATTTTTTCCACGACTTTCATTTTTCCCAACACTATGTAGAATAAAAATAAATTTAATATTGAACCTAAAAAACGTCAATTACTAATATAAAATAAACTTCTTTGGAATAATCAACCATTTTTTTTGTCAGTTGCTTTTTAAGTCATAAATAAATAAAATATCTTATTTCTCTAGTAGTTTTATATCTATTATTTAAAGAAAATGAGGGTAGTTCACCTCGTAACATCGATATAGATAGATTAAAAAAAAACAATACTACATTTAACGAATTACGATAGCAGCTTTCATTTTCGAGATATAAACAAAAAACTACCCCTAATTTGTAACCTTTATAACCATTTTCAAAAATTTACGTAAATTTATTTTATTTAATTTTATTAAAACGTAGTTTTTCTCAAAATTTTCAACCCCTATAACTCGCCCCAGGGGCTTTTACCGCACGTATAAAAAAATGTGCGAACCTTATTTTGGCCCATTCTATGACTATATATACCAAATTTCATCGAAATCGGTGAGACACAGTCGTGACACTTCCCTTGTAAGTAAAACCAATAATAATAACAGAGATAAAAACAAAAAACTTACAAATGATATAAATGAGATCCAACACAAATATAATTAGCTACGTAAAACTAATAGAGTGATAAATTTTACTGATAAATATACAGGATGTCTCAGCGAGACTGGTCATTAAACGTTTCTGGGATTCTGGCCAAAATAAAAATTTGAGAATTCAGGCTTAGATATTATCAATTGCGTTCTTTTCGACTAAAATATTTTCATATTTCTAGCACTTCCGATTATACCGGAAGTCGCCAACTACATTATTTTTTTAAATGGAACATCCTGTATATTTTCATATATTTGGATTTGTCTGTTTTCAAGGTTTATAAGTAACTTTACTTTTTGCAATTTGATTCGGCCGTTCTCGAGTTATTCGAATTTTTTTAGAAAAATATGCGCCAGCAGACATTTTTTCAAAAAATCAGAGAACACTCGATTTTTGATGGAGTATGTTTTGATGCCGAGAACGGCTGTCTAGATCGTTTGATCACTTTACTTACGGCACGTTAACTTTTCGAAATTTTGATGTACCATAACTTCATTTTTTTAAATGACAGTTTACCTTAGTTACCTCAGTTAGCCTTAGTCATAAATTCAACTTTGAAAAACCCAAAATACTAGATTCACATAAAAATGCTAGAGAGAACTTAGAATCGATATACAGATGTCCGGAAATGACGTGTACAACGCAAGACCACAAGTACCTTGACTAAAAATATGATGATTTAACTCAACTTATCTATATACAAAATTGCTTAGTTTAGCCGCTAGAGGGCTTTAAAAATAATATGTTTTTTAATTTTTTTTTAAATAAGTCGAAAAATCCTCGATGGATTATATTAATTTTTTGGTCATGCATTTGTATCAGTAGATTACAGCTATTTGTGGAATAAACTCTAATTTCGAAAATTATAGGGTGTTTAAAAACTTTGTAACAATAAATTATGCATCCATATCTTTTTAACTCCCTGTACAAACACTACCATTTTATTTTTCTGAATAGTTACTTTAATTTAGAAACTATTATCTCTCTTACAAAATTTCAGTTGGGTGAACGGTTTAGCCACAAAAAAATATTTTGTAAATCCCCACAAGCGCGAATGAGTGATGCAAGGTAACTACGTTTTTTTTTAATAGTTGGCTAGGTATAATTAATTTTAAAAACAAAAACATTTTGTCACTTAAACTTGACAGCAGTATTCGCATTTTTGTTTTGCCTTTTATCTTTGATTATTGAAAAATGTAAACAATACAGTTAACTTTAAAACAGATGTATTTAAAGTTGGTGCACATTATCCAATATTTTGAATAAATTAAAAATATAATAAGTGGATCGATGTTTAGAGATATTTTTCTACATAAATATAATATTTACATAGTATTAAAAAAAATTTTTAATATTTCATATAATTTTCAAATAATTTCAATAGAACTAATTTTCCAGATGCTCTTAATAGTGAACAGGTTTCTCCTCTTGTATAAATTTGATAATGGCGATCATAAGATATATAATGCGTAAATGAGTTATAATGAAAGTAAAATTATAATTTGTGCTTTAATTTAATGATAAATGTTAACAATTTTAAATGTTAATTGTGTCATATAGAATATTTCCTTTTATAATCCTTTTTTAGTCCAATATCTGTTTCAATCAATTGTACCGAGAAAATTAAAAACCTCCATATTACTATTGTATAATTTAATTGTATTTTTAATAGGTGAAATTGTACAAAGATTTTCTATACGACGAGGACGCTGTGATACAAATGTTGGAAAGGTCGATGGATGAACTTAAAAAATCTAAACTGGACTTGCCTCCGCCTGCCAGTAAAGAAGAGTTACCCAATCGACCCTTCGGCATCTTCATCGAGCCGACGTTCGAACAAATAGTTGGGCATCGACTCGAGAAGTTCTCGGAGAAAGAAAAAGAAACGAACGAATTGGTTTTGTTACGAAGGGAACAGGCTCGGCAGTCAATGGAAGAAAGTCGTGAATCGCAGGCGTCTACCGGCGGGGAATCCGTTGGGAACGCAGGTACAGATATTGATAGTATTTCCGTTGCGAGTAGTTTCGGTCGGATATCACTTGCTAGTGATACTAGCGTTTGTGAAAGCACCAACAGTAGTAGCATTGTTATTGAATGTACTAGATTGTGAAATGTTTCAATTTTCTTTAAAGAAAAGCACAGACTTTCTTTCTTCTTTCGTGTTTTGTGTTTGTAAAAAGTTTTTCCTTTTTAAACTGATTTTGGTTAGGTTAGAATGGTGATGATTTTAAGGGATTATTTAAGATATTTTAATTTTTTTGCTTAGCTAATTTATATTTATAAAAAATGATAGATATAACTTTACCAAAGCTTTGCCTTATAATGAAAAATTACGAATAATATAGTACAAACAGTTTATATCCCAGAAAATATTACATAAAAGTATAATTATTTTTATTAAAAAAATTAAGTACTTATGTATTCGAAAAAATGTTCTTTTTTTTTGCTAATTTATTACTTTTTTTTTGTATATATTGGGTTAGGTTGATGTTAACAGTATTTGGATAAAAAAATAATTAATTTTTTTTGTAAAATATAATCTTTTTTAATGATTTTTAAAAAGTTTCGAAACGGTACTTAAAAAGAATTTATCAAAATCCGTTTCTAAACACCAAAAATCGTTTGTATACAGTGTTTCAATAGTATTATGTCAAACTGAAGTCTTGTAAGTATTTATTTAAAATGGTCGTAACTAATAAGTAATTCATCAATATTTAATAATTTTTATATAAAAAATAGTGGTGAAGTTTTCGAATACTGGAATTGAAGAATGAATTCGAATTCCAGAAAAAAATCTCAATTTAATCATTCATAATTGATGATTTAAAATCGAGTATTTGATTTTGGTTTCGAATACAGTAAAGCAGAATATGAATTTTTTTCAGAACTCGAATGCAAAGAATTGCAAATTCTTTAAAACCATTTTGGAATCGAATAATTCAAATATGAGACGCAATTTTTGTCTTGGAATATTTTTAATCTCTTCAGTATGGATGCCAACATAGAGTAGGTAGTATTTTTGTAAGGATAGTATCAAACATAGAACTGAAGGTAACGTCAGTGACAACTTGATCCACATTTAGACACTAAAGGGCATATTTCGCTAACTCATTATACAGATTGCAGGATTTTGAATTTATTAACAAAGTTAAAGTATTACAGTTAGATAAACTCTCATAGCGCTATCATATGATGGTTTGTTTTAAAAAGCACTTTTTGTTTTAAGTATTTTACTTTAACCCTATGAGGATAAAATTAAAAATATTTTACTTCTGATTATCTTATTTCCAGGATGAGGTTAGCGCTATATTACACCTAGCTACTTTCTGTGGATCAATAAAAAATAATATTGCAAGTGAGAGAGCTTTCCCATTCAGACCTATGCGCTTATTTATCATACCTTACTTCTTGTGGCACACATTTGTTATACTTATGGCTTCCTACCATGTTTTATCTTCTCAGGTGCACCACCAATTAGACTATTTGCAAGACAAAACATCTTCAATGGTATCTCAATTGTATTGCTTTCTCGGAATAAAATTAATGCATTTAAATTGTAAACGTCTAGAAAATACCAATAATTCATGTCTTATGCATTAGTTATACAGATTAGATATAAAGGGGCAAGCATCCTCTTGAATTTCAGCCATTTGCTGTGAGCAAATTGTGTGCTTTTACCAATTAAGTTTGTCGTCACAACTCGACTCTTCGTTCCAATATAATCTGGAAACTGATAACCTATTATCTGAAACTCACACATGTAGTCACTTCGATCAGCTCGCACCTAAGCCTTTTAACTTCATAGGTTTTAGAACGTTATCATTGATTCATCAGTTGATTGATATTCACTAGGTTTCAATGATGCGATAAAAATTTCAGATGATATGTTGAGCAGGGGACTAATTTTGTAATTTATTATGATTGAGATGCAAAGTAGTAAGCAACAACCAAAAATCTTTCTTGGCACAAAATTGGTGCTGCCACCATTTTTTTGTAGCGTGTTCAAATTGGTTTGAAAAAAAATCTGGTCCATTATCTGTTTTGGAATTAAATTTTGAAATATCTTCGTAGGAGTGTTTGAAAAAGATTTACAGCTGCAACTGCGATTACTGAAATTTTGAATAGCTTCTTCATGATTCATTTGAGGTTCAGCTCAGTCAACTTGCTCATCGCAGAATTGTAATCGCTATCTAATGGTAAATAATCTCCATCTCCAACATACCATTCAGTTATTTCATATTGTGAGCGTTGATGACAATGTTTAGTTTTCTGTTGCGTAACTCAGATTCCACCTAATTCTTGTGAATAAAAAAAATCCACTGATATCCATGTCCCTTTAAGAGTCAACAATGAAATATCGCCATCTGAATCTTCTTCAGCGTCTGGATTTATTGCGGCATGAACAGGATCGTTCTTATTGCATAGTGAAATATATTGGGTTGGCAATAAATAATATTGGGGTTATTCAATAAAAATTAAAAACTAATTTGTTCTTCCTTGCTGTTTACAACTCCTTCTTCCCAATGTTTAACAAAGTTTTTTATATCTCTTTGGTAAAAATCACCCATTTTCTGCCCGAAAAATTCTTTCAACCAAGTTCTCAATTCTGCATATCAGTATTAAACGATATTCCGGGCAAAGCATTTGAAAGATGTGGAAATTCGATGTGGCAGCACTTTCTAGCCATACGTTTCAATGGCTTAATTGGTGATATGATAATTCTACACAGCTATTTCCATCTGTTGAACATAGAGTTCCGTTGACCGTTTGGTTTCGTTCAAGCAATTCGTAATGGATAATCCGTTCCCAGTCCTACCATACGCACAACTAAGCCATTCCTGTGCTGCTTCTTATTAATTAAGATGCACCAATTTTCATTGCCAATAACAATTAGGTAAAGAAATCGTTGCTTGTGTCTATGAGTTGAACAGTAACGAGTTAAGCAAACCGGCAAAGATAGCGCCGCGTTATTTTTTGTTATTATCACTTAAAGCATGCGCAATCCATGCTCCACACTTCTGAATATTACTTATTGAGAGAAGATACTTCTTTATATCAGTATGGGAACTTTCCGCTTTCTCTGTCTCAATTTCTCTTCATCGATGTTTTCAAAATCTCCATTTTTGAACTTAGTACCAGTCACAGGCGGATCTTTTAGCCCTCTCCATATATAGCACAAATGTCGTAAACAGCTTTAAAACCTTGATTAAGAGCAGAAAGGAAGGAAATGTTGAAAATGCTTATTTCTTTTTAACATTTTTTTTAACTTAAAAAAAAACGTAACTACTAACAATTTATTCAAAGAATTCATAGAATTCTTATGGTGCATTTATTATCACTTAAAGCATGCGCAATCCATGCTCTACACTTCTGAATATTACTTATTGAGAGAAGATACTTCTTTATATTAGTATGGGAGCTTTCCGCTTTCTCTGTCTCAATTTCTCTTCATCGATGTTTCCAAAATTTCCATTTTTGAACTTAGTATCAGTCACAGGAGGATCTTTTAGCTATATATCTCCATATATAGCACAAATGCCGTAAACAGCTTTAGAACCTTGATTAAGAGCAGAAAATGTTGAAAATGCTCATTTCTTTTTAACTTAACATTCCATTTTAATGAGCCGCAAATTAATGTAAATTTGTTTAAATAAAAAAAGAAACATAGTTTTTGGTAGAACAGACATTCTGACACTCTATTTATCTGTTGTTCGTCCGACAGCTTATCTCAAAATTGGGAAAGCAGGAATATAACATCCTTAATAGCAATATTCCTCAGAATTATGAAATGTTTGCTTGCTCGAAAAATTAAACATGTGCCAATAAAGTTTTCAGATAATACATTTTGGATAACGTATCGTATTTTAGTGTATAGCTTGGACAAGAGAAGTGTAGAAACATAGTTATAATCTTCCAATCATCGCTTATTAGTATTTCTAATGCGAGGTATGAAATATTGTGTGTACTTTAAAATTCCTTACTTGAATAACACAGCACTTGTCTAACCATTTCATGATAAGAGTGAGAATTATCCAGGCACTATTTGTTTAGTGATATATGCACCTCACAGTGTTCAACTGGGAGTTCACTTATATTGGTTTTTCAAGCAAAAAAAGTTATTTGTCTGTTTTCTAGAGCTGTTTTCGTCATCCATCATCCACTTTTATCGACGAATATCTATTTCTAAATCTATTGATCCATTCTCTACTTGCATTAAAGTTGTTTTTATTGTTCACACTCCATTTTTGAGTCTGATTCTCCAAAAATAACTTCAAATAAAAAACTCAGCGTTAAACTGCAAATATGATAATTGTAAATAGCGAAGATAGGAGATTGACCCTTACCCTGGGTCTTTTGCCAATTTATTACACTGCCAGAATTGATTTAGATAAGACATATACATCAAGCTTCTAAACAATTTTATTCAAAATTTGCATTAAATATCTCAAAAAGAGTAATTTTTTATTTCAATTAACTTATTTAAATTTTTATATTTCAGATTGATAAACTACTTTTGAAACACTTGTATATAGTATTTAAGGCATGTATGTTTGAAAAGTTTTCACCACCCCCTTTTCACTTGTAAATACATTTAACGTTCAATTTTGGTTGCATGCAGACCCCGATCCTGCACGCAAATGTGATTTATTTACATTTTAATTAGTCGTCTATTTAGCTAAATGTAAGATTTAATTATTATTTTTTTACTTTGTACTCACATCTAATATAAAACAAATTTTCGTACAAAATTCTTTGTTTATTTGGTTTTTGGTAGCACCCTTTACTCTCTCATGCTTTTTATAATTTTTTTATCACTCATTTATGTGAATAATCAGTAATAATCATAATTTCTAAAACGGTTTTTATGGAACGATCATTTTCATTCAACTAATAGTTGTGTGTAATAAAATTTTTTGTTTCTTGTATATATGCTTTTTAGTATAAAAAGTATTTGCACAATTTTGGCTTTTTTAAAAAAATGTTTAAATTGCAATCGAGTGTAAAACAAAGCGTGTTATTATTCTAGTTTTGCCAGTAATCAGCATTTGAATGGAACGCATCGAATGCAATTATAAAATTGGTATGTGTGAGTGCCCCAAAAGCACGAAATTAACCGCCCCATTTTTTTTCTAATCTTTAGACGATGTTTCTTCTTGTGTTTCTAACCCAAATAATTCCGAAAAATCCAACCAAACCGAAGACAATTTTCTTCCATCCCAATACAATTATTCCCAACCGAAGAAACCTTTACTATTCAATTTGAAGAGGAAGGATAAGTCTAAGTACACAATCTTTACGCATTTTTTACCCAAGTCTAATAGTAATAAAGTGTATTTTACTTCTAATGTTACATTTCTACGTAAATAAGAACATTTTTTAAATTATCATCCCTTACTTTGCACTTTTTATCCTACACAAAAAAATATTTAACGTTTTATTAACTTTACGAACCTCAACATTTTTATAATTAGGTTCAAAATTTTCATTCGACCCAAGTATGGATGACGCTAGTTCGTTACTTGATTGCGAACACACTGGTTCAAGAAGATCTTTAGCCGATACTAGCGTCACTTCGACGGCTGATTTATCTGCATTCTCGACCATCACAAGATCTCAAGCGCACGACAACAGCTTGGATACGCACAGTAACATGTCGGATAATTCCGTCGGAGGTGGCAGTTCCGTCGGATCAGGTATTGGATTACCGAATACGCTTCAAAAGGTTCTCAGCGCGCACTCTACCCCCAGGGCGACTCCACACAATCCCAGTCCGGATGTTTTAAGAATCTACGTACCCTATTCAACATCAGTGGAGACACCAATCGCCAGCCCACAGAACGGCGATTTAACCCGCAGTTTACCCTACGCATTTCCAGATAATCGGATACGGATTCGAATCGATAACGATGAATTGGCCACACCTTTAGTCGAACATGGTCAGTTCAAAACCTTTCATCTTGAAAGTCCCGAAGTGGACCTTGAATAATAATTATTTGACGAAAAAAATTATAAATAATAAACAAAACGAAGAGTTTTTAAAGATATTATAAATATTGTAATGTAATAATGTAAAAGGGAGGGTAGTGTGTGTAAAAAATTATGTAGATTAAGTAAACACTAAAAAATTTCTTTTTCTTTGGATGTTGTATATAAAGTGAGTGTTTATAAAACATTTTAAATCATCCAAATCGAATTGATGATATTGATTAGTTGATACAAATATGAACACCAACAAATTAGATTCTCCAATCTTTATTACTTAAGTTAATTAAAATAAAATTATTTATAACTTTAAACACTCATTTTATATGCATATTATAAATACATGTAAAACTTTTAGGTCCTATTGTAATAATCAGGTAAGTGTTTCATCGTTCTAGATGGAAAAAAGTAACAAAGAAAACAATAAGTCATCTAAAAATTAAAACTCAAAAATAATTTTGTTAACACAATAACAAAAAAATAATAATGAAAGCTTTTTTCGTTTTAGTCGATGTATATACAACAAACTGTATTGTATTATCTTTATTTTTCGCATTTTTTTCCTTCCTATTATTATTATTATTAAATTTAGGTTTCCAAAAAAAAACGTAACTACTAACAATTTATTCAAAGAATTCATAGAATTCTTATGGTGCATTTCATCATTGCGTCAATTGTTAATAAAAGAATTCAGCCTATACATAATAAAAAAGGATAAATAAAAAATCAGGGACGGATGTAAAAACTAATAATACTAGAAACAGAAAAACTTAGTAATTTAGTAAGTAAAACTGTAAAAAGGTAGAGAAACCGTCCCTGTGAGTCATTGTAGAACGACGTTCTCATTCTAAATGTTACCATTTTCTTGTTAAAAAAGCTCACAAAAAAAAAATAAAGAATATCTAAAAATATTTATACCGGGTGCTCAGTCTCAATGAAAAAAAAAATGCATTAAAAATTGATATTATTACATTTAAAGTATCATTTCCATGATGTTGTAAGAAAATAAAAAAGAAATTCTTGCCGCTCGAACGTCATTCATTCCATTTCAAATAAAATATATTTTTCGTTTATTTTTTTATTGAATGTAAATTAAAAAAGAAAGGAATTTATTCTGTAGCTTACTGTCTACGTAATAGCAATCTAAAGCATTTTTTTTGTGCCATACAATGTTAAGAAGACACAATGTAGTTTATTTGTAAACTCAAAGTAATGTTAAGATAATCAGCTTAAAACTAAAAAATATAACTTTAAAGAGGTGTTTAAAAAAAAAGTTGGAAATGTTTTAAGATTTTTATCGAAGATAGATTTCTGAGTTTGAATAAGAGAAAATAAGGCCAAATGATAATAAATAAAATGCATGTTTATTTAGCCAGGATGTTTGTAATGAAATAGTCAATTTCGTTTCGCTTGATTACTAAAATTATTCATTGTAATTAGTAAATTGGGGAATTTAAACCCAAATTTTAATATATAAATTTACAATTTTTAACATACAGGATGGTTCTTAATGATAGGTACACTTTATTAGAGGGTTTTTATTACTCCTTCTCTGCTCTGGAGCTAAAAGAATGTTATCAGTAATCATAAATAAATTTAGATGTACTTTTCAAACCAAATTTTTCATGGTAATTATACTAAGTTTAAGAAGATCCAATAAAATATTCTTCCTTCCCAAGTTCTAGTAGTTCCCTATCTTATTGTTTGAGGAAAAGGTTTCTTAAATATAGTATGTGGTTCCCTAAAATGTGCAGAAGTGATAGCATCACCGGTTATCTTTTGGTGTCTTTAAAATACTTATTGTGTGCCCAGATTTTGGTCATAATGTCGATACTCATTTTGGTTTTATTATGGCAGATTATCACGTCAGGTCTGCTTAGAGAAGGTACCCATTTATTTTTTCTGAAAGTGCCAACGAAAAATAGTTTGATTTTCTGATAGTGTTTGCAATAAACTTACAGCACTGACCTAAGTATCAGCTGTAACATTGCGTTCAGACTGCTTAATAAATTGGATCATTTTTTCAACATCATTAAGATTCTTGTTTCGTACTACTTAAATATGGCCTGTTTAGTTGTTTTTATATACTTTTCTGAATTACAGGAAAGACATTCAAAAATTTTCTATCCAATTGGATCCAATTTTTCAATCCAAAGTGTAAGAGCGTGGAAACAACATTGATAGGGTTCTCTACCTTGAAGGTAGTAAAAGTCTCAACTTACACGGAACAGTATATTTGGGACTATCTCTTAGAGTGAATTTCTAGTCATTGAATACAACGCATAGTTGCTCTGTGCATAGTGGAATGAGCATTCTTCATCCATTTTCCTCAGTGATTACCGTCGCATCGATTTTAAAACTATCAAGGGAATAACATGTTATGTTTTCTATGTCAACCTTAAAATTTTGTATTTATCCTCCGACCAGACTGAAAAACTTAGGGATTTTGAGACATGTATAGGATGATAAAAAGATAAAGTCTTACTTTTGTCCTCATACTGGATCTAAAAGTATCCGATGTTATGAGCACAGAAATTAACATATCTAGATCTAAAACTCTATATTGCACCTCCCAAGCTTCTTCACTTAATTATCCACATCTTATTGATTTCTCAACGGTTTCTTTGCCATAAATTAAAACGTTATGGACGGTTTGCAAGACATAAAGCGGAATGTCAAAATATCCTTACGAATAGCAACTTGCAGTATGATAACAAATTTATAAAGCAATTTTTCGTCAACACTTTATATTTCCTCTAAAATTTTCGTTTTAGAAAAAAATCTACATGCTGTTTTTACACCGCTATTTATTCATTGCCTTGTCAAATCCTGAAATCATTCTGTTATAGCAAATTTCTTAAGGTCCACTTTTACCATCCTCCTGATAAACTATCTAGAGGATGGTTGCCATGGTTACGGCGGTTTTAAGCACTCTCATTGGCTAAGAGCTGGATTTATCTATCGGATAAATTTATCAAGAGGTGGTAAAAGTGGGCCTAAATACAACATTTTAACCAATGTAATCAACTCACGATTAATTTTAACGAGTTCTTGAGGTCTATTGATAAATTTATCCGATAGATAAATCCAGCTGTTAGCCAATGAGACTGCTTAAAACCGCTGTAACCATGGGAACTATTTCCTAGATAGTTTATAAGGAGGATGGTAAAACTGGGCCTTAGAGTTTCTTTGCAAAATAAAAATCTAGTGGAAAATGGATGGATCATTTCAATTATACGAAATTATATCCTGACTTATAAGCATAACTTAGTTCCTGGTTTATAACTTGCTTATATAGGGCCTAATCTCATGCTCAGCCACAACTCCAATTAGTAATGAGCGTTACATTTTGATTTTGGTTATTTGTGGATATTGATTGAATTTAAAATTCTGGAGCCAGTGTTATTAAGAAGATGCTGCCGATTTATTTGTGCTTCTTATTGATTGGTAGTTATCTCCTTCTTTATCAGGATAGCAAATCCTGATATTGATCAAATTTCTTGGATTACATTTTACAGTATGATGGAAATAATAAATGTTCTTCTGTTTCTGACCAAAGTACCTAAGAGTTTTGTGCGATCAGATACAAGCCCGAACCTGTTTGAAGTAAAGGTTGAGAAGTTGGAAAAAATTGGTCCAAATGGTCCGGATTGTTTCTCAACCCACAGAATTTACTTGAAAAAATTAAAAAATTGCTTTTGTATTATTAAAATCAACATCATCACCCATAATCTGGTAATTTTTTTATGAGCAGTTAAAATCATCTCTTGCATTGATGCGCACCTTGGTCTATTGGCTGAGTAACACATGTAAAATTTGGAGGAAATATGCTACGCATGTTTTTCCAATATCTCTTTGTGGTAATTCTGAATCAATATGTATTCGCAGGATATTTAACCAATCGCAATATGGCTTTTGTTGGAAAATAATTTTTTTTAAATAAGTTTTTAGCTGAGTTGCATTTGTCCATAATCTTGGTCACTACGGTTGACCATCATAAATTGATTAAATGACTTGATCATCATAAATTGATGAATGAAAAATGTTACGATCCGGGTATGAACAACTCAAATTTGTAATATTCAGTGACTCTTAAATTCTTAATAGTCCTGAATAAATCTTAATTTCAATACCCGTCTCATTTATGTCTCACAGTTACCGTGTTACTCCAAATTACTCCAAAAGTCTTTCCATTACTTCGCATTGATGGTTTCCATTTTTACTTAATAACTTTTAAGTATTCTTCAATTATTTATGTAAGTGATTGAAAACTGGACCATAACTGATCCAAAACTACATCTAAAATTGTTGACAACTCAAAAATTGATTTATAACGTTGCAAAATTGTTCAAGATGACTAAAAATTGCGTAATAATCCTTGGTAATTTGTCTAAATGGTTAAGAATCGGTTCGTAGCTATTTCAAGAAGTTCAAAATGCCCGAAAAGTAGTTGGTAAATATTAAAATCTTGTCTAAATACTTGAGAACTAATTAATTTCTATTCCCCATTTTTCAAGATGGTTCAAAATTGGTTGGTGTTCTTCGAAAAGTTGTCTAAATAATTTAAAATTGTGTCTAAAATTATTCTATACGGATTTATAACGTTGCAAGATTGCTCAAAATGAATAAAAAGTACTTAGTAGTCCTTGGTAATTTGTCTAAATGGTTGAGAATTAGTTCGTAGCTATACCAACTAGTTCAAAATGACCGAAAAGTAGTTTTTAAATATTAAAATCTTGTCTAAATAGTTGAGAATTGGTTCATTTCTATTCCCCATTCTTCAAAATGATTAAAAAGTTTGGTATTCTTTAAAAATTTGTCTAAATGATTTAAAGTTGATCCAAAACTGCATATATAAGTGATCACAACGGATTTAGAGCGTTGCATAACTATTCAAAATGATTAAAAATCACTTAGTAATCCTTGGTAATTTGTCTAAATGATTAAGAATCGGTGCGTAACTATTTCAACAAGTTCAAAATGGCCAAGAATTAGTTCGCAAACATTAGTAACTGTAGTATAGTTAAGAACTGATTAAATCTATTCCCCATTTTTTAGATGATTGAAAATATATTAGTTTTCTTCGAAAAATTGCCTACATAATTGAAAATCGATCCAAAACTGCATCTAGAATTGTTCTATACGGATTTATAACATTGCAAAATTTGTTCAAAATGATTAATTATTGCTTAGTATCCTTGGTAATTTGTCTAAATAATTGAGAATTGGTTTGTAGCTATTTCAAGTAGTTCAACATGACCGAAAAGTAGTTGCTAAATATTAAAGTCTTGTCTGAATGGTTGAGAATTGGTTATTTCTATTCTCCATTCTTCAAAATGATTGAAAATGTTGGTATCCTTTAAAATTGATCTATAACTCATTCAAAACTGCATCTATATAAATATGTTCACAACGGATTTATAACGTTGCATAACTATTCAAAAAGATTAAAAATTACTCCGTAATCCTTGGTTATTTGTCTAAATGGTTCGCAGTTATTCCAAGTGGTTCAAAACTCTCAATTCATCCGTTAAAATTCAAAGGATACGTGTTTAATCTGCTGTTTTCATTTCTTCGTCTTTCTTCTTCACTTTCTTCTTCCTCCAATTGTCCACGTTTAATGTTTTCTATGATTCTTCTCCTTTTTCATTCGAGAGTTGAAGCTAGAGTTTTAAAAAGTTTTAACACATTTACGTACAACATTTTCCAATTTCACATCACTTGCAGATCTGATTTTGCCTTCTATAAGATTTTCCTGTAATTCTTCAAAATCTTACATGAATTTTGGCAAATTGTTGAAACCTCTTGTGATTAATATCTTTCAAAGCGTCGAATGATCGCAAATAGCCTTTTATCATTTTGAATAAAGTGTCTAAAACTGTTAACATATTCGTGAATGTATTACAAAGATAAGAAGTTTTGAAGGTTGCTATTACAGTTGGTCCATTAGTATCAAAAAAAGTTGTTGTGTTGGGAAACATGTAATCAACCTTGACATACAATGTGTTTTTATTTCAGCAAGGTTTTTAAGATGAATTCATTTTCTTTATCAAAGTGAAACAGAGTTGGGCAGTGATAATTCGTGTACCAATCTTTGAAAATATCTGGCAACATATTTTAACCTAGGATTTAAAGTTGAAACAAAACGTTTTTTATAACAAATAAATGTTCGTGTTAGCAACATTTTCCAATAAGTTTAGTTTTATCGATGACGATTAAGTCTGGAGAATAGTTATTTGTTGTAGATATCCTTAAAATTAGGGAAAGGAAGCCGCCACCGTAATATTCACTCTACGATGATAGAGAATTCTAAAAAAAAATTCTTAATCGCTATCTCTTTCTTTGAATCATTAACAAATTTTCCTATTCTTTTCAAAACTTATCTTCTATTGTAACTCATAGTTTTTACATGTATTATCGTAGAGTGTTGAGCAAAATTTTATGTTTTTGCAAAAGGAGATACAATTTTCTTTGCAAAATTAATTTAAGTCGTTTAAAGAAATCTTGATATGCTTTGATGTTATTGCACTTTTTGCCAATGTTCTTCTTGATTGCAACTTAATTGATTAATTTCTCTTATTGATTTAGCTAGAGTTAACGATTACTGGAAGATATTAAATGAGAGTTTTGGGAGATATTTGACACTATCCAATGTAATTGGTACAAATTAAGAGCCGTTCAAAGTAACTATCAGTCACTAAGAGGCATTGACAAACTTATTGCAGTTTCTATGCTGCGGTTTTATATACAGAGAAATGCGATTAACAATTGACGTTTCTTTTCTATCTTGAATCTACCTGAATCTTTGTGCTTTATACACATCGAGGTTAGAATTTTCGAGCGAAGGAGTTATTGCAGTTATTTCCAACATCATCCTATGAGCATAGGATCCTATATCTCCTAAGATCATAAGTCTAAAACTACTAAAACTTAGAACTAGATTTTATTAAATTTCGACATATAACGCTGATCAAAATTTTGTTGAAATATAATTTAGTAATAAAACGAAACGAAATCGATTATATTATGTCGCTAATTTAAGAAAAAAAGATTTAAGATTAATAATAAGGGACAGTCAATTTTTCCGATGTCGCAGTATTAAGTAACAAAGATATCTCCTAGTATCCACTTATTTATTTATTTTCTTTTATAATTTCCTTTTTTTTGTATGTACTTCTTTAGTTTTTAGTAGACTATACTGTGTTGGTGAATGGTTGGCTTTTAAACAACAAAGTTATTGAAAAAATGGGTAACAATTAGAAGTGATATATGCAATAAAAATAACTATTCTATGTCTAAGAATAATATGTATATTGTTAATTTGTCATTGGATGACGTTTAAATTTCTTAATAAAATTGCCTTTGAAGTCATTTTGAAGTTTTCTTTTTTATTATCTTTTTAACATAATTTAAAAGAGAAATGTTTGTTTATCCAAGTTTACCACCGAAAGATTACGCCTTAAAACGCGTAACAGGGAATGTTTTATCGTGTAGAGAATTTACTCCCGAAGGTCAATTAAGGGTTACCCTTCCTGAAATAGCCAAATTTGTGGTTCCCGTTGCACCAACCGTACATGATGAACCACCTGAGGTACTATACAAAGAAGTTAACCCTGAAGTTGTTGATAAGTGGGTAAAATACGATCGAGCTGAATGGGTTGTAAAACCGGGGGAAGATGATTATTTTCTTCACGATGTTTGCAGGAAATATAGCCAAGAAAAAGAAAATTATGATCCAAGATACAAAAAAAACAGTAATAGTAAAATAAAAAATAAAATTTGTTTTATCAAATTATAATTTTTAGCATCATTTTATACTCGCTCATACAAATACGAATTGGATTGTTTGGAAGACTTTCGATTAAGAAAATTACAAAAGAAAATTGATAGGGAAAAAATTGAGCATATGCAGAGGTTGCATACTCAATTAGGGATACGAAAAGAGGATATTCCAGATATAGCGGAAGCTGAGCAAGGTTTATTCAAAGAAGAACGATGGCAAGAACCACCCGTGCTTTTTGCACCAAGCTTAAGCGATCCATGTTTGAGGAGATCAGAATTTTCCCTGTATGTAATTCTTTACTACAAAACAATTTAATCAATTTAATACAACATTATTTTTGTTCTAGAATTGGTCAACCATTTAAACACGAAGCTTGTAATTGGTATTATAAACATTTGCCACCTCCAAACATTGTGTTTAGACCAGAAAAATTTGGGAAATAAAATTATCAATGAAATTTGTATTAATTTTTAATATTTTGTAAAGAAATTTGTATTATTTGGTTTGAAATAAATTCTTTATCTTTCAATAAACGTTTGAATTTCATTTTAAGAGAATGATCTTTATAGGCATAAGAAATAATTAAAAGGACGGAAATAGCTTGAAGGCAAGCTCCGAAGAAATTCGCATGAATTGAATGAGTGCTTATATTTAGAATATTTCGTCTACATTCGAAATACGCGGAGACTAAATAAGACTTGAGATAGCATACTCAAAAAAGTGCTTTATAACACCTTCGCGAAGTTAAAATCGGACGTTTATGTTTTAAGGCGTTTATGCAAGGTTGCAATCAAAAATTCATAACTTCGAAATTTGAAAATTCGAAGAAATGATCTTGAAGATATTAAACACCAAATAAATTTACTTTAAAATGCTTTTTAATTCATAACGATATCTCAATTAGTTTTTGAGATACGTAATGATTAGTTATCCTAACATTTATGTTTAAGCTTATGTAAGGTTTCAATCAAAAAATGATATCTCCGAAATTTGAAAATTCAAAGAAATGATCTTGAATATATTAAACATCAAATAAATTTACTTTAAAATGCTTTTTAATTCATAACGATATCTCAATTAGTTTTTGAGATACGTAATGATTACTTATCCTAACATTTATGTTTAAGCTTATGCAAGGTTGCAATCAAAAAATGATAACTCGAAAATTTGAAAGTTCAAAGAAATGATTTTGAATATATTAAACACCAAATAAATTTACTTTAACATGCTTTTTAATTCGTAACGATATCTCAATGGGGTCATACACACTTATTAAATTTAGAGAAAATTTTTACGTCAAACGATATATGCAAGTATATGCATGAACACAAAGTAAAAGAAATATTTTGATCAATTTTATATTTTGCGTAATTTGAAGTGAAAAATAGCAAATATTCAAACGAAATCATTTCGCGGCTTTTCTGTGACGTAGAACCGCACTGCCTAAAACAAGTTAAATTGTCCGCTAGATAGCGCTTGCGGTGTGACAGTGTCAAAACATAACCGTGGATGTAATAGAGTGTCTCTATTACATCCATGAACAAAACATAATAAACATAACCTATAAACACTCTATCTCTTTTCAATACAACCTAAATGACGTTCATCTCTTTCTCGCATTTGAGCGGAGAGCAGGGGACGCAAAGGTGGATACGTACGTCATCAACGCGGGAATTTTAAAAGCGCAAATGGTATATAAATTTTCAACAATTTTTTTAACAATGATTTTGTTCGAAAATATTCAAAAAAAAATAACGGTAACTATATTTTTATACAAACTTTCAGAAAATATAATTAAAAAAAAATCGTGTATGACCCCATTCGTTTTTGAGATACGATTTTTTTATATCGGCTCATAAAGTTTAGAATAATCAAACATTACAAGTTGAATTTAAAAAGCCATAACAACGATGTTTATGGAAAATAATAAATTATTTGTGGCACATTAAATCTTCATCAAATTTGCTTTAAAATGTTTTTTATTTCATGGTGATATCTCCATTCGTTCATGAGATACGATTTTTTAAAAATTATATTGCACATCTATAACAATCAAACATGCAGAATTGGACTTAAATAATCATAAAAACGATGATTATGGAAAATAAGAAATTATCTATGGTGCATTAAATCTTCATTAAGTTAGCTTTAAACCGCTTTTTCTTTCAAAACGATATGTCAATTAGTTTTTGAGATACGTAATGATTATTTATCCTAACATTTATGTGTAAGCTTATGCAAGGTTGCAATCAAAAAATGATAACTCCGAAATTTGAAAATTCAAAGAAATGATCTTGAATATATTAAACATAAAATAAATTTACTTTAAAATGCTTTTTAATTCATAACGATATCTCAATTCGTTTTTGAGATACGATTTTTTTATATCTACTCATAAAGTTTAGAATAATCAACCATTACAAGTTGAGTTTAAATAACCATAACAACGATGTTTATGGAAAATAATAAATTATTTGTGGCACATTAAATCTTCATCAAATTTGCTTTAAAATGTTTTTTAATTCATGGTGATATCTCGATTCGTTGTTGAGATACGATTTTTTAAAAATTATATTTCATATCTATAACAATCAAACATGCAGAATTGGACTTAAATAATCATAAAAACGATGATTATGGAAAATAAGAAATTATCTATGGTGCATTAAATCTTCATTAAGTGGTGCTTTAAACCGCTTTTTATTTCAACACGATATCTCAATTCGTTTTTGAGATACGTAATGATTAGTTATCCTAACATTTATGTTTAAGGTTATGCAAGGTTGCAATCAAAAAATCATAACTCCGAACATTGAAGATTCGAAGCAATGATCTTGAATATATTAAACACCAAATAAATTTACTTTGAATTGCTTTTAAATTCATAGCGATACGATTTTATTAATACCTGCTCTTAAAGTTTAGAATAATCAAATATTCCAAGTTGAGTTTAAACAACCATAACAACGATATTTATGGAAAATAATAAATTATTTGTGGCACATTAAATCTTCATCAAATTTGCTTTAAAATGTTTTTTAATTCATGGTGATATCTCGATTCGTTGTTGAGATACGATTTTTTAAAAATTATATTTCATATCTATAACAATCAAACATGCAGAATTGGACTTAAATAATCATAAAAACGATGATTATGGAAAATAAGAAATTATCTATGGTGCATTAAATCTTCATTAAGTGGTGCTTTAAACCGCTTTTTATTTCAACACGATATCTCAATTCGTTTTTGAGATACGTAATGATTAGTTATCCTAACATTTATGTTTAAGGTTATGCAAGGTTGCAATCAAAAAATCATAACTCCGAACATTGAAGATTCGAAGCAATGATCTTGAATATATTAAACACCAAATAAATTTACTTTGAATTGCTTTTTAATTCATAGCGATATCTCAGTTAGTTTTTAAGATACGATTTTATTAATATCTGCTCTTAAAGTTTAGAATAATCAAATATTCCAAGTTGAGTTTAAAAATCAGAACACCGATGTTAATGGAAAATAAGAAATTATTTATAGCACATTAAATCTTCATCAAATTTGCTTTAAAATGTTCTTTATATCATGATGATATCTCCATTCATTTACGAGATACGATTTTTTAAAAGTTATGTCATATCTGCAACAATAAAACATGTAAAATTGGATGTAAATAATCATAATAACGACGATTATGCGAAATAAGAAATTATTGGTGGTGTATTAAATCTTCATTAAGATTGATTTAAACCGCATTTTATTTCATAGCGATATTTTAATTAGTTTTTGAGATACATAAAGATTAGTAGCAAAGTTGTAATCCAAAAATCATAACTTCAAAAGTTGAAGTTTTGTGATATATACACTAATACTTTTGTGGAATCTTGTATATCATCATCACTCTGTGATATATTTCAGAAAAATTAGCTTAGTTTTCGCCCGCGTTTTAGATAATTAAGTTTACTTTTAAAGTAAAAAAAATAATCAATTATTTTGCACTTATTTTATCTAATCATTCATTTAAAGTTGATAATAATGGAGAAATTAATAAGAAAGAAGAATTCAAATCTTCATATATCATTAAGAACCCTTCTTAAGAACGTAAAATTTTGTGACAATAAATATATTTTATACATAACACCATTGTTTTAAACGTCCAAAATTAATAAACCATTATCCTTTACTTCTTCTTCCCTTTTTTTCCGCCTTTTCCGCCTTTTCCGCCTTTTCCACCTTTTCCACCTTTTCCGCCCTTTCCACCACCAGCAGGCCCACAATCTGCTGGGTCGTATTGTGAATCTCTCGTTTCTTTTTTGGGAGTCGGCTTAATATCTGGACCTTTTGGAGTGCAAAGTTCTAATTCCAAATTATTTTTCTTGTCAGCACCTTCGCTTTTCTTCCCAATTCTTAATACGAACACCTCCTTATTCGGATCGGTAATTTCGGTAAAAACAGTCCCATCTTTAGCGGTACAAGTTGGAGGATTTGCAATAACGTTACTGTTCGCAGCTTGACCACAGCCTGCCATTTTAAAACTAAACGGTGCCGACTGATCCGGAACACCCCTCATAGCCAAAGCTTGGTTCGTATTGGGTTTACAGGGTGGAGGTTGTTGATATGGTGGGAATCCACCGCTACCCGCTTGTTGTCGCTTCTTCTTTTTCCCAAAACCTTCCCTACCGCAAGCGCACGAACCGTCGGATTCTGAAACATCAGAATCAGTTATATCTTCTGCTTTAGGCTTATCCTTATGGACTCTTATAGTGATCGCGTTACCTCCCATTGAAGCTCCGATTTCTTGGTATGCTGCGCTTGGATCGTCTGGTATAGCGCTTTGCGGCGGTTGGCGACCGCATTCGTTACATGGAGCGTCACCTCCAACAGATCCTCCTCCCATACCACCCATTCCACCCATTGCACCCATTCCACCCATTCCACCCATACCACCCATTCCGTAAGGCATTCCCATTCCACCCATTCCACCCATTGGAAAACCACCTTGCGGTCCACAAGGCAATTGAGGCATCTGTGACATTTGAGGAGGCATCGCACACGGCGGCATGGAACTTGGTGACATAGATCCTATTTGCTGTTGAGGCATACCGCAAGGTGGCATTCCTTGGCTACCCATTTGCGGTGGCATCATTTGCGGCGGTGGACTCTCAGGTTGGAAAATACACGGTTGCATTGGACAAGATGGATTTTGTGCTGCTCCAGGCGGAGGACCAGCTTGAGGTTGCATCATGGGTTGTCCTCCCATATTTGCTGTAGCACCTGGACAATCCGGTCGAATGGGGCATTCTTTGGGTGCTTGGTCTGGTTGTGGAGGTGTTTGTGGTTGTTGCTGACTTTGTCTCATAACGTCAGCGCAACTGTTTGCGGGGCATGTGGCATTAGGATTTGATGGAAGCATTTTTCTTTGCCAATCATCGCACGCACTGCCTCCTTTTCCACCACCACCAGCAGCACCTTTTCCTTTGTTGTATTTGAATAGGTAGTGTCCTTCTTTAGCTTTGAATTGTACGGATTTATCTTCAAGGTTCATTTGAAATTGCGTAACAATTAATTTTCCAAAACAAGACATCCTAATATAAACACTAATATGTCCGACATCATCCCCTTTAGCGTTAGTTATTTTGTAACAATCTTTAAGTGTTTTTGCCGCCGGAGTTTCTCCTGAAGAAGTAATTGAATCCACAAGCTCCGTGAAAAGAGGAATGATCGAAATTAAAGATTTTCCAATTGGTACTTGGTCAGGAAGGACACCTTTCGCCATTTTTCGAAAAATTTCAACAACTATATCAAAACTTTGAACACAATCTTTCGCTTGATCGGGAGTGAGTGAGAATAAGCACGATTTACCACTTTTTACATTTTGGTCGGCTCCGGCGCCCAATGTTTGCTTATTAGCAAAATCTTGTTCGCATATTAAAAGAGGGGCGTTGTCCAAAAATTGAAAGGAGACGCATGTTTCCCCCATAATATTAGACACTTCCTTCTGCACATCGTAGTCCATGTTGATCTGGTCCACAAGGAATTCCAGGAGGATTAAATTTTCTGTTGCGAACTTCTCCATTATTTTCAAATAATTTTTTTAATTTAAAACTGCGACAAATTTTGTACAGACAAAAATTTTGTGTGAAAGTGATTGAAAATGTCAAATGACCGCGTCAACATTTTTTTAGCCAACTAGTTTTATTTTATTATCATAGTTTGTAATCATTGCGATAATAACAAAGGAATGAAAAACTACTGTTTAATAAATTGAGGCACGAATAGGACACAAAAAATAGTTGAAATTTAAAGGTCTCTGTATGTTCAAGTAATTTATTCAATTATATCCAACATTAAATGTTATTTTTAAGTATTTGCCATCTTTATTTGCACTTCTGATGTGAGATAATTTGCTTGGGAATGTTTACACTTTTGATTTAAACATTTACACCATTTAAGATAGAAGATAATAAGATAATCGTTTTGAATGCTGCCCAATATTTTGAAAGAAATTATTCAAAAATCTTAACTTTGGAAAGCTTACTTCACCAAGAATAAGTTTTGTATAGGAACACGGAAAGCCGAGCTAAATCTCCTATCTCTATTAGATTTGTGATGCCCAGGCAAATTTAGTGATGACTCTGATATTGATAAATTATACAATAACACTATAGTGGAGTGTGGTATGGAAAGAGATAGGTTGAGAAATTCGATGCGGGTTGAGATTTAAGAGACAAATCTCATCTTACAGCAACGTTATCGTAGAGGGTGAAGCTCAACGGTGTCTCTAGAAATAGCTTTCCCTTTCGTAAGTAAAAGACACTCAAAAGTAATACGAAAATTTGAAAAAATCATATCTACTATATTCCTTAGAATCATAATATGATATTATGTTAAATTGTAACTTAAAGATTCTAGTTTATGATATGTCATAAATACCATAAGGTAGTATTAGTGAAATTTCCAGGAAAAATTATTAAAGAAGAAATTGTCAAATTTATTAATAAAAAATAATACAATGTTTTCAAAAAATCATATCGATTATGTTTTTAAGAATTATGGTATGATATGTATGTTAAATTATAGCTTAAAGATTGTAGTTTATGATATGATATAAAAATTATATGGTAATATTATTGAAATTTCCAGAAAAAAGTTATTAAAGGAGAAATTGCCAAATTTATAAATCAAAAATAATACGAAATTTGCAAGAAATCATATCAACTGTATTTTTAAAGTCATGATATGATATGTATGTTAAACTATAGCTTAAAGATTCTAGTTTATGATATGAAATAAAAGCTATAAGGTAGTATTATTGAAATATTCAGGAAAAAATTATTAGAGAAGAAATTTCCAAATTGATTAATCAAAAATAATGCAAATTTTTCAAAAAAATCATATCGGTTATATTTTTAAGAATTATGATATGATATGTATGTTAAATTATAGCTTAAATATTGTACTTTATGATATGATATAAAAATTATATGATAATATCATTTAAGTTTCCAGGAAAAAGTTATTAAAGGAGAAATTGCCAAATTTATAGATCAAAAATAATACAAAATTTGCAAGAAATCATATCAACTGTATTTTTAAAAGTCAAGATATGATATGTCTGTTAAACTATAGCTTAAAGATTCTAGTTTATGATATGAAATAAAAGCTATAAGGTAGTATTATTGAAATATTCAGGAAAAAATTATTAAAGAAGAAATTTCCAAATTTATTAATCAACAATAATGCAAAATTTTCAAAAAATCATGTCGATTATATTTTTAAGAATTATGATATGATATGTATGTTAAATTATAGCTTAAAGACTGTACTTTATGGTATGATATAAAAATTATATGGTAATATTATTGAAGTTTCCAGGAAAAAGTTATTAAAGGAGAAATTACCAAATTTATAAATCAAAAATAATACGAAATTTGCAAAAAATCATATCAACTGTATTTTTAAAAGTAATGATATGATATTTATGTTAAATTGTAACTTAAAGGTTGTAGTTTTTGATATGATATAAAAATTGTATGGTGACATTATTGAAATTTCCAGGAAATAATTATTACCAAATTTGTAAATCAAAAATAAAGCGAAATTTGAAAAAATCATATCGACTGTATTTTTAAGAATCATATGATATGTATCTACAAATTTCAGCTTAAAGATTCTTGACATGGCGATGCCATGCGATTTTTTTCTGTGGGGAGACTTTAAGTATGAAGATTCAGATTTTGCGCTGAAAAATATAGGGTGCCATTTAAAAAATTGGTCGTAGCCTTCGTAGTACCTTCAAAATACGGTCAAAATCAAAAATGTAGAAAATAACAATACAGAACAACTTTTACTTGGATAATTTTTATGTTAAATGAACCGTTTTCGAGATATTCGCTTGTCTCAAGTAAATGGAGCACACTCTATAATAAAAAGCACAGCATTCATTTAAATTAACGATTTTATAGTCCGGTAGATTGGAGTAGTGGCCATCGTAAAAATATCTTATTGTTAGATGTAATAAATATCCCATAAAAACAGAATTTCAGAAACATAGGTTAAATAGAACCTAAGAAACAGAATGATGCAGACTTTTTGGGGAACACTGTATATATACAGGGTGTGACAAATGTCTGGAATATAGCCAATAACTTTGCCATTTGTGTGTTGTTTTATAGAAAAACGTTTCAAATAAAAAATTCTTTGTTAATTGTGGCGCATTTTTTGGCGATATTTGCAACCAATATTGTTATTTGAAATGAGATGCTATTCCAGGCATTTGACACATCCTGTATATAAAATCAGACCTTTATACCTCTCGGTGTACGTTTTTTTACTATTTCAATATACATGAATAAATTTGTACCATTCGCCTCTGTCTATGATTGCCCCCTCTTTTTAAGAGCTTCTCCTTTTAGTCTGACTAGATGTCTATGTACTCCAAAACGTTCATTTGTTGTCATCGTGCATCGTGGAAAGGAGAAGAACGGCCTTCCGAGTGCATAATATAAGAAGATATATTATAAAAACGAAAATTGTCATAAATGTTAATATACTTCTCCTCTTTTAAAGTTTCATCGATTGTAACTCCCAACTACTTGTAGTGTTCAACCTGTTCTAAAGCTAGGTGTCCACTTGCGAGAAATACTCGAGAGAGAAACTATCGAGAGTACAGGGTAGGTTGAGGTTTGTACTCAAGTGGACACGCACAATTTATCTATCGTGAGAGTAACTGTCAAAAAACGAATACGGTTCGAATTTTGTTGCGAATTTTCTCGATATAACACGTTTAAAGATAACACCTAAAAGAAAATAGTCCCAACAAGAAATATTTAAATTAATTAAAGTGTATAAAGAAAATTCAGTTCTTTGGAATACCAAATCTAAAAAACATAGAAATCGGGAAGCGAGGGATGCAATTTTAGCAAGTATTAGACAGAAATTTAAAGGGGATTTGTACCATTCATAATATCTAGTCTTCTGACAACATAATTTGGTCTTCTAACAGTAAAATTAAGTCTTCTGCCAACAGTATTTGGTTTTTTAGTAGTAGTGTGTAGTCTTCTGTAAGAAGGGTGTGCTTCATTTGCAATATCTAGTCTTTTGCAGCAATATCTAATCTTCTACCAACAGTATTTCGTCTTCTGGTAGTAGTGTGAAGTCTTCTGTAAGAAGAATCTGCTTCATTTGCAACATCTAGTCTTTCATTAGTAATACTTAGTCTTCTGCCAGCAATATCTAGTCTCCACCAACTTTCGGAGAGTAAACAGGTTGAGGTTTGTACTCAAGTGGACACGCACAATTTGTCTATCGTGAGAGTAACTGTCAAAAAACGAACACGGTTCGTATTTTTCTTCGAGTTTTCTCAATATAACACGTTTAAAGATAACACCTAAAAGAAAATGGTCTCAAGAAGAAATATTTGAATTAATTGAAGTGTATGAAGAAAATTCAGTTCTTTGGAATACCAAATCTAAAAAACATAGAAATCGGGAAGCGAGGGATGCAATTTTAGCAAGTATTAGACAAAAATTTAAAGGGGATTTGTACCATTCGTAATATCTAGTCTTCTGACAACATAATTTGGTCTTCTAACAGTAAAATTAAGTCTTCTGCCAACAGTATTTGGTTTTTTAGTAGTAGTGTGTAGTCTTCTGTAAGAAGGGTGTGCTTCATTTGCAATATCTAGTCTTTTGCAGCAATATCTAATCTTCTACCAACAGTATTTCGTCTTCTGGTAGTAGTGTGAAGTCTTCTGTAAGAAGAATCTGCTTCATTTGCAACATCTAGTCTTTCATTAGTAATACTTAGTCTCTCGGAAGTTTTATAGAAGCTCTTGAAGACCTAAAACAGTCTCAAGTGGACACCTAGTATTGAAACAAATAGAGAAAATTTTAACTTTAGAAATGCCAGCCTTAATTTTGAAATGTAACCATATAAATTATTACTATGTAAAAGATATTTATTTAATATTATATTATGTAAACATTAGTTTTGGGTCATTAAAAATATCGTCCTCCTTTCAACATCCCTGCATATATGTAATAGAATATTTCAGATTAATTATATTCCTTGGTTTTCCTTTCATTTGTGGGATGAGGACATATTTACTCAATAGGAAAGAAACCGTTACATTTCAAACGCTAACCAAACAGTATTTAGTAAAGTATTAACCATTTTTTTTAACAAGTGTTTTTTCAAAATTTTTAAAATACACAATAAATTTGGAAATATCAACATATTTTTTAATGTTGCTTCATCTAATGGGAAAGTATTGCACGATAAGAATTTTATTAAATCCCTCCATAAGTGTTTTTGATACGTATGATCATGCGCAAAAAAAGTATACAAACGGACATTGATGCACCCAAGCACTTTTACAGTTGTGTCTCGAAACTGGTCTCATCGCGTGCCAGGTGGTGTTGTGTTACTTAAAAACTTAAAAAATAAATTAAGGATTTTACTAAAATATTTGGTAAGTGTATAGTATTATTTATAAAAAGTCATTAATAATAATTTTGTTATAAATCATTTTTCTTTGAAGACAATTTCAAATTAAGTTTGTTTCACTTATTAATTTTTTGTTATTTTCTTATAATAACTTTTTTAATTTACTTATTTTTATTATAAAGATTTTTTGAGTTACAATCGTTTGTTTGTAGCGATGCAATAGTATTTTTAGAGAGTAACTAGGATTGGTACATAACCTATTTTCATGCCACGTGGTTTGCACGTGCCATTTTATTCAAAAATAAAATCAAAAACGTTTTAAAACGGCGTGATTGATTCAACATTAACTTACTTATTTTGGAACGTTTTTATTTTCATGATGTAATACGTAGCATTAAAGTTGCATCAGCAAAAAGCTCTCTCCATCACATCAATACCCCCGCAAAAAAAATACCGGAATATAAATTAATTTATTTAAAAATAAATTAAAAAAAGTAATGCAAGAAGATTATGTTATAAATATTTATGCAAAAAAATTTGAAATTCCAAATTTCAACTTTAAACTTGAACTTTATTCAATTAAAATTTCAATATTCACTTTTAAACAACTAAAAAATTTAATAAACCAATTTCTTCATAATATTTATGTAAATACATACAAATTACACTAATTTCGTATTAGAAACAGGTTCGAAATGATTGCGTCATTTTTCTTTTACTATTTATTTTTCTTTGAAATTTAAAAATAACTTCACGGACGTGATACGTAATGGAAAAAAAATATTTCAAAAAATTAACAAATAACACAAAAAAAGGAAATAAAATTGTATTATGAAATCTCTTAAATAGTGCGTGTTAAAAGCCGGCTATTTATTAAACACACTTTTTATGCGTTACTAAACTTTGTTTAAGAATCATGAACGTAAATAAAACGACCTCCAACTTGATTGATTACTTTTTTACGTCTTATAAATTGATCAATAATAATTTTTTTATATTTCAATTTTAATGTTGTTATAATTCAATTTTTGGCGTCTAGAAATAAATTGTCCTTTGAAACAGATAAATTAATAAAGAAAGTGTGACTTAATAAGTAAGTTTAACTAATTCGTTTTGTAGACATCGGCAAAATAGTTTTAACGATAACAATAAAAAAAAGTTTACGTTTCGCTGACGCGTTTTTAATAGTCTCTATAAGACAATTTTTATTCCTTAACTATAGTAAAACCACGATATAACGAACCTCGGATATAACGGACAAAATATTATCTATTTAATACATTAGTATATTTAAATATAAATGTTGGCGCTCATAGATAGAATCTAACTCGGGGTATTCCGCCAAATTGTCTGAAGGCGCACGGCTAAACCCGAAACTTTCTGGTTCAATAAAAAAATTAATACCAGCTTTCTTGAAACAATTGTGTTATTCTTAAACATGATGTATGTTCGTGTAGCCTAGAATAGTATAGATTGGGTATGATGTTGTATCTTCATTGGATCGATAATCCAGAGTCACCAATCTCCAAGGTATTATAAACTGTTATGTCAAGCTTTTTATCATCTTCAGTATTTTCACCAATAGAATAAACTCAAAATTTTAAGAAGTTTGAAGATGATTGCTGGGAACGTTTGAAAAAAAGATAGTTAGACACATATGTGGAGGAATTCAAGAACAGAGATACTGGCGCAGATGTTTTAACCATGAATTGTATCAAGAATACAAGAGCCGGATATAGTGATAACTACAAAAATTGGAAGACTGAGATGGATAGCACATGTGGAACGGATGAAAGAGGTAGAACCAACGAAACAAATAGTCAGACAAACACCGGTAGCACAGAGACTGAGAGACAGGCCAAAGACGAGATATATGGATCAGGTGGCGAGAGATGCGAGGACATTCAAAGTGATAAATCAAAATTCTTAAGCAGGTCAAGACCCTTTCAGGGTTGTAGAACCAATGATGGTTATGACTTAGAAGCAAAATTAAGTATTAAATTAATTATAGGTGAAAACAAATAGCATTTTTACAGGTACAGAAGGAAATATTATGACGAGAAACAAAACATACTTAGTAGAAGTAATATTTTAGCAGAAACTGTATTGGTGGTTATTTGCAGAAGAATAGATCTTGAACAGAATCACCATTTTAGATGTACCAATAAGCATGTAAAGTACTGTATCTCGGAAATCACTCCTTACTAAGAAATTCCGAGAAAACGAGATAGCGTCCATCTTAGAAAAATGAAAATTATTTCCAGGATTTTCTCTTAGCCACTTTAGTTATTACATTTTTTACTGTAAGTTTTTACAATGAGTATGATCATTTGCAGAAGAAAATATGATAATAATAATATATCTTTATTGTGCCTTCCACTATACAAATAACATTCTACATATTTCTATTTCATAATATAAATTAAAGAAGGAACACAAGAATGGGCGAGTTCCAGACAATGTCTGCTCATACCAACCCAGTTGGTTGCAAAAAAAAAAACAAAAATTAAGCAAAAAAGAAAACATGAGAACGAAAATAAAAGAAAAATAAAATTAATTATAAAATACTTAATCAACTAAAGCAAAAAATTTATACTGCCTTCACAAATCCCAACATGCCAACAGTAAATATCCTAGCATCAGATATTATTCTCCCCCTTGCTACTGAAACCTCAATCCGCATCGAACTCTTCCTGAATGTGCTAAGCTCAGAGTACGCATGCCATTTGGCAATTTACTATAAGATTTGTAAATGTGATAGCTGAAGAGTAGATAATAAATGCCGGTTCTGGACCGGAAGTCAATCCCCCATCCCCCTAATCCCCCATGACGTCACTTCCGGTGTCATCCCACTTCCGGTGTCATCCCACTTCCGGTATCTTGTCACTTCCGGTGTCATCTTCAACCCCATGTTAGTGCCCTAATGGTCCCTTCAACCCCGAACCGGGGTAGTAGGAAGCCATTAGGGCGCTAGCATGGGGTTGAAGGGGGTTGAAGGGGGGCCAATAGGGCACTAATAGGGGGTGATGGGGTTGAAGGGGACCAATAGGGCACTAATAGGGGGATGAAGGGGGCCATTAGGACACTAACATGGGGTTGAAGGGGGTGATGGGGTAGAAGGAGGCTAATAGGGCACTAATAGGGGATGAAGGGGTTGAAGGGACCATTAGGGCACTAACATGGGGTTGAAGATGACACCGGAAGTGACAAGATACCGGAAGTGGGATGACACCGGAAGTGACGTCATGGGGGATTAGGGGGATGGGGGATTGACTTCCGGTCCAGAACCGGCATTTATTATCTACTCTGAAGCTTCTTTCAAATAGAGACTTCCGATATTGTGGTGGATATATAAGATTGTTTAATCTCGTAACATATGGGTTTGTCGCCGATTTGAACTTAATTTTCTTATACAGATATTCGAACTTACATTAGATTATAATTTTATGGAAGAGACATAAGCTATGAAAATCTCTTCTTTGTTTCACTGACAATCATTTTATATCTTTCAGCTTATGAGTAATTCTATCAAATTTTCTGATATCATAAATATACGTCTGACAACTGTTTTGCACTCTCTGTATGCGGTTAGAAGTCACCACATCAACATCCAGGTGGTAGAGTGGCGCCATATAATTAAACTGGGATAGAACAAAAGACTCACACAGTTGCTTTTTCAGATCCACCGTAAGATAAGCTCGACGAGGATAAAGTCCAAATAGTTCAAATAAGAATAAGTATTTTTGATGTAATAGCCAATCTGCGATCTGTATCTAAACGTATTATCTATTCTTAACCCTATGCATTTGGATTTCTGAACTAAACTGATTATTTCACCATTCATTTGTATATTTAACACAGTTCTGCTACTAGCCTACTACTTGGGTTGATTCTCAATATTATGTGCAGAAGTAAGATATCATAGGCACAGCCAAAATATTAGATGCAGAAAAAGATCTTTTGAACGGAAACAAAATATTAACGCTGAGAAGTAATGAGAGTAATGATAAACAAAATATAATGGACAGAAAGTGCGGGCAGAGATAAAACAGTATTTCGTAGAATCAAAACGAAGAAAGACTAAAAGGTAGGAACAACATTATGATCATTTGTAGAAGAAAATGTCGTGTGCAGAAACATGGCATCATAAGTGCAAAAGCTGAGTCTTTTGGGCAAAAAGAAAATAGAAAGTAAAATGCAAAAAGAATATCATGTGCAGGTTTAGAAGAAAATATTCGAACTAACAATGGCAGGGACCAACATACTATAGCCAGCAACAAAATGTTAGCATTCACGTTTTTTTAGTCAATTTGTTTTAAACATGTAATTTGAAGACGCACAGTTAAACCCGAAACTTTCTTGTTCTAGGTCTAGCGCTAGTTTTAATTGTTATATAGCGCTAAATTGTTGTATATTTTTATTGAACTAAAAGTGGAAGTAGCACTAAACTTAGAACTACAAACATTCGGGTTTAGCGGAACTAATACTAGAACTAACGCTAGCATTAGAACTAACACTAGACCTAGAACTAGAAACATTCGAGTTTAGCCGTACGTCTTTTAAGACGGCTAAACCCAAATGTTTCTAGTTCTAGGTCTAGTGTTAGTTCTACTTTTAGTTATTATTCAACGTTAGATTGTTGTATATTTTTCATTGAACTTACACTAGACCTAGAACTAGAAAACTTGGGGTTTATGTGCGTCTTCAGAGTCTAGATTTTTGTCTAAAACGGATACGCATTTCTTCATATTAGTCCGTTATATCGAGGTTTTACAGTACTTAATAAAGTTATTTATTGAAGTGAATTATTCAATGAGGTCCATCGATTTTATTCGTTAATTGACTTCTATTCTCACAAAATCGAAACAAATTTAGCCTACTTAGTTGATGACCTGATTTTTTTAGATAATGTCAATGAACTTTGAGTTAATTAACTTAGAAATCATAATTAAATCTTAATTTGATTAGATGGATGTTTTTATTTCTCATCTTTTAAATCGATCAGATTAAGGAACAAAAAGTGTT